CAAARTCKTTRBAGATTTTCCAVCTGGAGAHCTTTGGATMTGTAAAAYTGTTTTCTTCAGAAGCTTTAKRRCYRTCTTCYCMARAGGSTTGTAGAGYTGTGAGGYTGBAAGTTCCCCAGSCAGAGCTYTGRGAAYTSTCTTCCSCARAAGMTTTGGRAYTATTCCCCCYYCCCCYVGARYTTTGTWAGAAAHRGAGCTTCTSTAYMGGTGGGRAAAGCTCTCACRTCYTGTAACTAAGCTTCTAAACTGTAAGACTGAACTAAAAACTTTCTTGAGCTTCTAAACTAAGACTGAACTAAAAACTTTCTTGAGCTYCYAAACTGYAAGACTRAACTAAAAACTTTCTTTTCCCTCCCAGAACCCTGGGGAAAGGRGCRGAACTAAAGAACTTAASRATGATAGGCAGGTGGCTGGCCCTATGGCTGCCCTATGGGAAAAGCTYTCACGTCCTGKAACTGAGCTYCYAAACTGYAAGRCTGAACTAAAAACTTTMTTTTMCCTCCCAGAACCCTGGGGRAARGGGCGGAACTAAARAACTTAASKATGATAGGCAGGTGGCTGGCCCTATGGCTGCCCTATGGGAAAAGCTCTCACATCCTGTAACTGAGCTTCTAAACTGTAAGACTGCACTGAAAACTTTCTTTTCCCTCCCAGAACCCTGGGGAAAGGGGCGGAACTAAAGAACTTAAGGATGATAGGCAGGTGGCTGGCCCTATGGCTGCCCTATGGGAAAAGCCCTCACGTCCTGTAACTGAGCTTCCAAACTGTAAGACTGAACTAAAAACTTTCTTTTCCCTCCCAGAACCCTGGGGAAAGGGGTGGAACTAAAGAACTTAACGATGATAGGCAGGTGGCTGGCCCTATGGCTGCAGCCTGGAAGGAACTACCCAACTGCAAAAGGCATGGCCAAAACAAACACATGCATAGAAAGGAAATGTAGGCTTCTGGTACAGCTGTACCAGCACATAGATCCATTAGGCCCCTTCTACACAGCTGCTTAAAATCCACATTATCTGCTTTGAACTGGATTATATAGCAGATAAAACAATCCAGTTCAAATCAGATCATGTGGATTTTCCGTTTTGAGAACTTGGATTATCTGGCGGTGTAGAAGAGGCCTTAGAATCGAAGAAATGCAGTGCTTTCCCTGGGGTGATATATAAACAAAAATGGTTGTTGTTGTTCTTATTCCATGCTCTACCTTTTCTTAACAGACACGCCCATCCCAATGGCCTCTCTCTCTGCCCCAAACGAATGAATTGCATTATTACAGTCTAGTTTTTTAAAGCCCCAATTTGCATCAAGTGGCCTCTCTTTACACATCTGTATAAATAAAAATGTAATGTTCGTTTGTGGGATTAACAGAACTCAAAAACCACTGGACAAATCGACACCAAATTTGGACACAAGACACCTAACAACCCAATGTATGTCCTTCACTCAAAAAATTGATTTTGTCATTTGGGTGTTGTAGTTGCTGGGATTTATAGTACACCCACAATCAAAGAGCATCCTGAACTCCACCAATGATGGAATTGAACCAATCTTGGGACACAGAACTCCCGTGATCAACAGAAACCACTAGAAGGGTTTTGTGGGCATTTACCTTGAGTTTGGGAGTTGTAGTTCACCAACATCCAGAGAGCACTGTGGACTCAAACAATGATGGATCTGGATCAAACTTGGCATGAATATTCCATATACCCAAATGTGGACACAGATGGAGTTTGGGGGAAATAGACCTTGACATTTGAGAGTTGTGATTACTGGGATTTATAGTTCACCTACAATCAAAGAGCATTCTGAACCCCAAAAAATGACAGAATTGGGCCAAACTCCCCACACAGAACCCCCATGACCAACAGAAAATACTTAAAGACATGCAGTCCAACTCCCTTCACCAGGGAACGAAAATGTAATCAAAGCCCTCCTGACAGAGAGCCATTCAGCCATACATACATACATATAGATAGATAGATAGATAGATAGATAGATAGATAGATAGATAGATAGATGATTCATACACAGAGAGAGATATAGTATCATAGATTTTAAAGGGACCCCTAAAGAAGGACAATGATATGTTGCATGTTCCAGAGTAGGCAAACCAGACACTCTCCACATCAACACTGACAAAGAAACAGCAAGAAATACTGTTTACCCACAAGGAGAAAGACATTACATAGATTAGAAACCAACACTTTCTCATTACTTCATTTTCCAGATTACCAGACTGGGCCACAGCAACATGTGGCAGGGGACGGCTAGTACATACATAAAGTCATTCCTTACCAGGACGCGGCGGCTTTTCTGGAGGGTGACGGTGTATCCGTGTAGCTGGAGGGTGACCTGGCGCAGGTAGGAGGCCTCCGGCTGCCCCCGCTCCTCGTTCTTGGCCGTGATGGTGAAGGAGGGCAGGCGGGGGTCGCTCTGGCAGAGGGCCACCAGCGTATAGGTGCAGGTGCCCATGAAGGAGACCATGGTCCCGTCAAAGGTGTAGTAGTGGGGGTCCCCGGCCACGTGACAAGCCGCCACACCTGCAAAGGATGGAGAAGAGGGTAGGACAAGGGTGACATTGATTGACACTGTCGCACACCAAGGCTGGAAGCACACCTTTGAACCCACGAACACTCCAAAGTTCTTTAGCAAATAAACTATTTATTGAATAAGTGCAAGCAATATAAAAAAGGGTGAAAAAGGCAAGTAAAGGCTTAAGTAAGAAAACAATCCAAACTGGCAGGTAAGCAAATATAATCCATAAAAGGAAACAGAGACGATTCTTAAATCCACAGCAAAATCCATGAATGCATAGTGCTTAAAACCCACAGAGGAAAATGTCCAAAGTCTCTTGAAAAGCCAAGGAACAAGGTTGCACAGATCCAATATCCAGAGAAGAATTACACAGGGAAACATTCGCCAACAGCAACTTGAACATGAGTCTTGAGCAGAGAGTTCCATGAATCTTGACATGACATACATACAAGACTTGACCAGACACCGACGTTGCGCTCACTGAAGGCAATGCTGTAAAAGCTCTATATTTATTCAAAAAGACCAACACAAAATGCATTCCGATTCCCTTGAGAACTCTCCTTTTTTCCCTTCTCCTGACAGACCTTCTGACTCCCCCTTGCAGGTGGCGATGTTGACAGGTTTGACCCCTTCTATCAAAGGTTGATTCCTCCCGGTTGCTCGTTAGCACATTCCTTTCACTTTCCTTATCTAGCAACCCAAGCTGGTTCCCATCAAACTGTCTGGAAACCATTTTATCTTGAGAACTAACAATCCCAGAGTCTTCTAACTCCATAGGTTCTTGTGGGTTTTTTCGGGCTATATGGCTATGTTCTAGAGGCATTTTCTCCTGACGTTTCGCCTGCATCTATGGCAAGCATCCTCAGAGGTGAGGTCTTCCAACTCCCTTTGCTCTGCAGTTTGGTCTGTCCCCTCATTCACAATCCCCTGAGAATCTACATTAAAAGTCCTGTCCCATCCTGTCCAAGCCCTTCAGGTGTGGCTCACCTGTGTCCTGGCAGCCCAGCACGCCCTCCTGGGGCCGGCACTCCTGGATGGGGCTGCAGCTCCACTCCTGGCAGGTGACGTTGTTCTGGGCCCCACAGGTGCAGCGCTCGGTGCAGTTGCTGTCGGCCATCCAGCTCTCCCCGACCTGAAGAGGAGAAGGAGGGAAAAAGGAGAGGTGAAGAAAGAACAAGCCACGCTGCACCTGAATGGAATTCTGGTGTTAAGGTAAGCTCACACCACCTGGAAACGTGTCATTACATGGTAAGACCCCCAAATCCAAGGAACCGATATCTCACATCGGAAGAAACATGGTCTCTGGAGGAATTTGCTAAATGTTCCAGGTCATCCTATGGTACTGGAAGTTACTACAGACCTGCACTGGAGGACAGGGTATTCCTCTCAATCCATAGGTCCTTCAATGTAATTCTATGACATGCTGGGACCAGGAATGAGGTGATTGAGACTGGATATACACTGCCCTCTATCCCAGGTTCTGACCCCAGGATATCAGATTTGAACTGGATTATATGAGCCCCCTTCTACACCACCATATAAAATCCAGATTATCTGCTTTGGACTGGATTATATACCTGGGAGTCACTCTGGACTGTGCTCTTACCTACAAGAAGCACTGCCTGAACAAGCCATTTGTCAGGGGTGATTTGAATGCAATATTCCTGCTTCTTGGCAGGGGGTTGGACTGAATGGCCCATGAGGTCTCTTCCAACTCTTTGATTCTATGATTCTATGAAAAAGTGGGTGCTAGAAACAATATCATACGAAAGCTGACTGGCACAACCTGGGGATCACAACCAGACACAGTGAAGACATCTGCCCTTGCGCTATGCTACTCTGCTGGTGAGTACGCATGCCCAGTGTGGAACACATCTCACCACACTAAAACAGTGGATGTGGCTCTTAATGAGACATGCCGCATTATCACGGGGTGTCTGCGCCCTACACCACTGGAGAAATTACACTGCTTAGCCGGTATTGCACCTGACATCCGCCGGGAAGTAGCAGCCAATAGTGAAAGGACCAAGGCAGAGACATCTCCAGCTCATCCCCTGTTTGGGTATCAGCCAGCACGTCAACGACTTAAATCTAGACATAGTTTTCTAAGATCTATAGAGACACTCACTGGAACACCTCAGCAAGCGAGAGTCCAAAAGTGGCAGGTTCAAACCCAGAACCCTAATCAATGGCTGATACCAAATGAGAGACTCCCCCCTGGGCACACAGAAGACTGGGCGACTTGGAGGGCGCTGAACAGACTGTGCTCTGGCACCACGAGATGCAGAGCCAACCTTAAGAAATGGGGCCACAAAGTGGAATCCTCAACATGCCAGTGTGGAGAAGAGCAAACGGCACAAGGGAGGACCTTCTTGCGGCAACACCAGAGGCACTCCAAGGGGCCAGATACTGGTCAAAGGACATTTAATCAACTACCAAACTCACAAATTTTGTATTTTGTCTGTTTGTTTGCTTTGTTCTGTTAGAAATGTAATATAATCGACTGGTTGCCCTGACACAACAAATAAATAAATACTGGATTATATGGCAGTGTAGTGCCCCCTCTCCCCTGGTGGCGTCGCGGGTTAAAGCGCTGAGCTGCTGAACTTGCCAACCGAAAGGCGGAGTGGGATGAGCTCCCGCTGTGAGGCCCAGCTTCTGCCAACCTAGCAGTTTGAAAACATGCAAATGTGAGTAGATGAGAGGGATGGCATACCATATTTGGAGATACTAGAGGGGCCCATGTCATGCCGCGTGGACAGGAGCGCTGACCAATGAAATTAGGCGTGATTGCCTCATGTACAAACCATGCAGCCAATGAATGGCGCATGTCACGGGACAGCGTCCAATCAGAAGTGGCTGATGCAACCCCGAGGGTATAAAGGTTTTTTAGCTGCACCATTAGGGCACGGCAGTTGGGGTCGGCACTATTGTTTGTGCTGTCTGTCCACCTTTCTTACTGATCAGTAGAAATAAATCTGTGTTTTGTTCTAACTGTTTGGACTCTTGTGGTGATCTCCATTGGCGTCCTGGCAAGGGACGGCATTCCCTTACAGTACCACTCAAGTGGGAAGGTAACGGCACTCCATGCAGTCATGCTGGCCACATGACCATAGAGGCATCTATGGACAATGCCGGCTCTTTGGCTTAGAAATGGTGATGAGCACCACCGTACAGAGTCAGACACAACTGGGCTTAATGTCAGGGGAAAACCTCGACCTTTACTTATATGGCAGTACAGACTTATATAATCCAGTTCAAAGCAGATAATGTGGATGATCTGCTTTGATAATTTGGATTCTACGGCAGTGCAGAAGGGGCTTGAGTCTCCACTACCAGATAATCTGGCATAAATAGCTAATCTGGGATCGGATCCTGAGATTTAGGCCAGTGTAGATCCAATCTTGATGATGGTTAGTGATATCCACAGTGACACATCAGTGCAGTCTGGCTGAGAACGGATCCCTTGTAGATCTCACAGGGGTCTTACTATATGTCCTTTTGAGAAGGAGGTTGTCAATGCCTCAGAAGGAAGCTGAAATGGATTCTTCCGGGTGCTGCGCTCAGCACATAGGGTCCAATATAAAGGTTGCTGGCCTCCTTACCGGGTGGTATTGCCCACTGGTGTCGGTGCAGCCGCACTGGTCGATGGGGACGCAGGTCTCTCCGCTGAGCACACGGCCCTCGTCGCAGATGCAGCCCTCCAGGCAGGGCAGGCCGGAGCAGCTGGGCGCGGAGGGGCCGTCCAGGCAGGTGGCCGGGCAGGGGGGGACGCAGGGGGAGTAGGAGCTCCCAGGGGGGCAGTTCAGGGCTGGAAAGAGGCACCACAAACACCTTTAGGACCACACCAAAGGCAACAGCAAAGCTTCCCTCTGAAGACAGTTGCTTCTCTCCAAGAGACTCTAATTTGGGGCTGCCTGTTAGACCACAGATGGGCACAAAGGGCTTTCCAAGGGTCAAAATAGCGCCTCTAAATCAGACATGGGTCAACTTCAGCCCTCTCTCCAGGTGTTTTGGACTCCCACAACATGGATATGCAGATGATCCCTTGACTGAGTTAAGTGTCTGGTTCCAAGAGGACAAAGGCATGGGCCAACTTGGACCCTCCCTCCAACTCCCACAATATGGGTAAGCAGATGATCCCTAGATTGACTTAAGTGACCGGTTCCAAAAGGACAAAGGCATGGGCCAACTTCAGCTCCCCTTCCAAGTGTTTTGGACTCCAACTTCCACAACATGGATATGCAGATGACCCCTTGATTGACTTAAGTGGCCGGTTCCAAGAGGACAAAGGCATGGACCAAATTCAGCCCTCCCTCCAGGTGTTTTGAACTCCTATTCCCACAATGTGGTGTGCAAATGACCCCTTGATTGGCTTAAGTGTCCAGTTCCAAGAGGACAAAGGTTTGGGCCAACTTTGGCTCTCCCTCCAAGTGTTTTGGACTCCAACTCCCACAATGTGGGTATGCAGACAATGGCTTGATTGACTTAAGTGTCCAGTTCCAAGAGGACAAAGGCATGGGCCAACTTTGGCCCTTCTTCCAGGTGTTTTGGATTCCAACTCCCACAATATGGATAGGCAGATGACCCCTTGATTGGCTTGTGTCCAATTCCAAGAGGACAAAGGCATGGGCCAAGTTCAGCCCTCCCTCCGTTTTGGACTCCAACTCCCACAATGTGGGTATGCAGATGATCCCTTGATTGACTTAAGTGTCCGGTTCCAAGAGGACAAAGGCATGGGCCAGCTTTGGCCCTCCCTCCAGGTTTTTTGGACTCCAACTCCCACAACATGGGTATGCAGATGACCCCTTGATTGGCTTAAGTATCCAGTTCCAAGAGGATAAAGGCATGGGCCAGTAGGCTGTTAGGAATTGTGGGAGTTGGGAGTACAAAACACCTGGAGGGAGGGCCAAAGTTGGCCCATGCCTGCTCCAGATGCTCAATAGCAGAGGCTCCCAAACTTTGGTCTTCCAGGTATCTTTAACTCCCAGAAGACACAACAAGCTTGGTTGACAGTCTGGTGGCGGTTTCAAGTCCAGGAAAGTGGAATTGGAAGGACACATGTGGCTTTTGGATGGACTCTATCTACCCCTGACCTCAAGTGTATGCATATCCCACTTTAGAGTCTTGAATGACCAAACTGGACCATGGAATGGAAACCAATAAATAAAAGGAAGTGGCGTACGGCAGAAGCTGCTGTTCCTCCAAGCGATGTTGACCCCAGCCTGGGCGCAGCGGTCAGCGTAGGACTGGAGAGCAAAGCAGAGGGTGCCTTCATCTCCACCGGTGCCACAGAAGTCATAGACACAGCTCTCGAAAAACCCCTCAGGAGGAATCTTGCTGTGGCAAGGGGAGAATGGACCTGCGGAAAGACGAGATGCAATTAGCATCCAAGACACTTTTTCAGGGTTTAGAGCAGGCGTGAGCCAATTTTGGCCCTCCAGGTGTTTTGGACTTCAACTCCCACAATTCCTAACAGTCTAATGGCTGTTAGGAATTGTGCGAGTTGAAATCCAAAACACCTGGAGAGCCGAAGTTGGCCCACACCTGTAAATCTAGATGTAGAGGTGAGGTCGACGAACCCAGAACTCCCTGCTTTCAAGATAATCTGACCTGCAGCAGGGAGTTCCGCAGTTCTCTATTGCCCACTTGAGCCAACTTCTATGTAACGTGACCCCAGCAGCAGCTGCAATCAAGAAACCTTTTTGCTTCACTTTCTTCCACTTCCTAACCTTGTAACAAATCCCCCAATAAAGTATCAATTAATTGTAACTTTTTCTCTTCCTAGTGTTACTTTGTGTCTTTTACTGTCTCTGAACTTTTCTCTGCATGAACCTTTCCTCTCCTGGGCTGCAGATGGGATGCAATTTTTGCGTCACCAGAGAGGCCGAAACTGCAGTCCTCTGAACCGCGGATACGGAAACCCATCAGATCCCCGTATCCGCGAGTCAACTGATCGCTCCAAAATTGGTGCCATTCTTCTCCTGGGCAAATTCTAAGACTAGTGGCTTTCTCCCTTTTGCTCCGCTAACCCCTCCACCCCGGGAATAACCACTGCTCAATATCAGAGGCAGAATGCAAGTCCTTTAAAGGAGATCAGTCTGAGAACACAATAGGAAGGTTTGTATCAAAAGAGGTTTGCTAATTCAAGGTCTTGTTCTTCTGTGGATATTTTTGTAAGGGAAAACTACTCTAAAATAAAGCAGAGCATCCAAAATTCAAACAGGATACAAAAGTTGAGCATCAGCTCATTAGCAAGCAGAGCGTGAAGTTCCGTGCAATGTGGCTGTCAAGAATTCAGAGCTTAGAAGGTAAAAATGCAATGTCCTATATTTTTAAAAAAATCACAAAACGTTAATTTACAATAATAAGAAATAACTGCATTTCTTAAGAGTTAAGAACTGGGCCTGAGTGACTCTAACACCCATCTCTTCTAAGGTTTCAAGAGAGGAAAAAACTCAATCAGGACATCTCTCCTGACACAACACAAACAGAGAGGGATATCAAAGCACACAGCACATACCCTCCAGACTAAAGAGCAAGAAGGAAGAAAGCAGATTCAATAAGGCTTGCAATAGAAAAGGATCAATCAGAGTGAGAGCAAGAACAAAGAGGGGGTGCTTTGAACACGATTTTCTGAAAGTTTCTCTGCATCAACCTTTCCTCTCCCGGGTTGCACATGGCTGCCGGCCCACCTAGGATGCAATTTTCACTTCCCGGGGAGGCCAAAACTGCGTTCCTCTGAACCGCGGATACGGAAACCCACCAGATCCCCATATCCGCGAGTCAACAGATCGCTCCAAAATCGGTGCCATTCTTCTCCTGCTTCTTGGCAGAACGGGGTTGGACTGGATGGCCCATAAGGTCTCTTCCAACTCTAGGATTCTATGATTCTATGAGAGCAGAAACTTTCTAACTGTCATACAGGAGATGTGGAGGAAGGGAATGCCCTCAGCCTATACTAAACTAACTAAACTGTTCCTCACTGAGGACTCGAGACTTGGGCAGTGTAGAGCTGAATTCAACATTTTAAACAGAAATGAGGAAGTCTCGCAAAGTGGCCTCTTTGTCCGGCCTGCCCTACAACCAATGTCCTCCTAATCGGACTCGGCTCTGACCTTGGGGGTCTGTCAGGATCCCGCAGCTGGAGGGCTTCTCTGCTTCTGCTGCAAGGTCCTTGTCACACTCTCCTGGGTCTCCTGTGTTGCTGCAGCTGCAAAGAAAGGGATGTGCCAGAGATGACATTATTGTCATGCATTTATTATTTATTTTATTTATTTACAGTTTTTATATTCCGCCCTTTTCACCCCGCAGGGGACTCAGGGCAGATTACAGTATGCACATATATGGCAAACATTCAATGCCAGTTTGACAGACAACGAATACAGACAATACACAGAGGCTATTTAACTTTTTTCTGGCTGCCAGGGGAGCTGCTGCTTTCATCGTCCATCAGCGACACCGATGAAGTTCTTCCGCATTCCACATCCCAGAGTTTCATAAATTAGTTAATTTAGCCTCCCATACAAGGTGGTACCTTATTCCTACTTGACAGATGCAACTGTCTTTTGGGTTGTAAAGGTCGACAACAGGTTACACAATGGCTGGACACCCACTCCAGGCCGGGATGGCTTCGAACTCATGACCTTTTGGTCAGAGTGATCTTAATGCAGCTGACACTCAGCCAGCTGCACCACAATCTACTTTGTTGTTGTTTATTTGTTCAGTCACTTCCAACTCCTCATGCCCTCCTGAACCAGCCAACGCCAGAGCTCCCTGTCAACCGTCACCATCCCCAAGGTCTCCTTCAGAGTCAAGCCAGTCCCTTCTTCAAGGATACTATCCATCCATCTTGCCCTTGTTCGGCCCCTCTTCCTTTTTCCTTCCATTTCCCCCAGTATCATTGTCTTCTCCAAGCTTTCCTGACTTCTCATGATGTGGCCAAAGGACTTCCTCTTTGCCTCTCATCTCCTTCCTTCAAATGAGCAATTGGGCTTTCTTTCCTGAAGTATGGACTGGTGGGATCTTCTTGAGGTCCAAGGCAGTACTTATCTACTTATTTACATATCAACTGACATAGCATCACAATCTACATAGGACAGCAGTGTCTGTATGTTGGAGGAGGACCCTAGAATTTATTTATTTACTTACTTACTTCATTTATATACCGCTTTTCTCAGCCCTTGGGAGATTCAAAGCGGTTAACAATAGCAAAATTCAATGCTCAATATCATAAAAAGAGTTAAAAACAGTTAAAAACAATGATATAATAAACAATCAGTTAAACATAACTATAACATCTCATTAGCGTCTCATAGGTAGAATCAAGATCCAATCTCATAATTCATTGTTCCATGTTCCTATATTCAATACACTAGTATTGTCATTCTAGTCCATGTCCTTTAAACTCTACAAACATCTACTGTCCGAAGGCCTGGTCCCAAAGCCATGATTTTAATTTCTTTCTGAAAGCCAGGAGGGAAGGAGCGGATCTTACCTCATTTGGGAGTGTGTTCCATAGGCAAGGGGCCACCACCAAGAAGGCCCTGTCTCTCGTCCCCGCCAGACGCGTTTGCGCAATTGAGGGGAGCGAGAGCAGGGCTTCCCGGATGATCTTATTTACGAGATGGGACGTAGGGGTGGATGCGTTCGGACAAGTAAGCTGGGCCAGAACCGTATAGAGCTTTACAGGTCAAAACCAGCACTTTGAATTGGGCTTGGAGATGGACTGGCAGCCAGCGGAGCTGGCACAACAGGGGGGTGGTATGCTCCCTGTATGTTGCCCTGGTTAGTAATCTAGCTGAGCCGACTGGGAAGAGCCAGTTTCTCCCTATTCCTCTCCTCTCCATCCTCAATTTTCAGCAGCTGAAGTGAGCTGAGGACAAAGGAGGAAAGCAGGAGGAGAGGGAAACTGGGATATCCAAAAAGGTGGGATGACAGGATGATGCATGCCAAATGGGGACAGTTGGGGAGCATGGCTTCTCATGTGGGGAAAGGCTTCAACTTGTAAAATAACACAGATTGCCTTTCAGGGTGGAAGAGAGGTGGGCACAGCCTGGGATGTCAAGGCTCACCCTTCATCCCCGGCATCCGGGACCTGCCAGCTCTCCCCCAGTTTGTCGGCGTCTGTCCCAGCTGAGGTGCCATCGGGCATGAGGTTGTCATCCGACACTTCCCCGTTGTAGTTCCCTGAAAAGCAGGAGAAGAACGATAAGAAAAGATGTCATATCCAGAATCATAGAATCCTAGAATCAAAGAGTTGGGAGAGACCTCCTGGGCCATCCAGTCCAACCCCATTCTGCCAAGAAGCAGGAATATTGCATTCAAATCACCCCTGACAGATGGCCATCCAGCCTCTGTTTAAAAGCTTCCAAAGGAGCCTCCACCACACTCCGGGGCAGAGAGTTCCACTGCTGAACGGCTCTCACAGTCAGGAAGTTCTTCCTCATGTTCAGATGGAATCTCCTTTCTTGTAGTTTAAAGCCATTGTTCCATTTCATCCTAGTCTCCAGGGAAGCAGAAAACAAGCTTGCTCCCTCCTCCTCCCTGTGGCTTCCTCTCACATATTTATACATGGCTCTCATCATATCTCCTCTCAGCCTTCTCTTCTTCAGGCTAAACATGCCCAGCTCCTTAAGCCGCTCCTCATAGGGCTTGTTCTCCAGACCCTTGATCATTTTAGTCGCCCTCCTCTGGACACATTCCAGCTTGTCAATATCTCTCTTGAATTGTGGTGCCCAGAATTGGACACAATATTCCAGGTGTGGTCTAACCAAGGCAGAATAGAGGGGCAGCATGACTTCCCTGGATCTAGACACTATGCTCCTATTGATGCAGGCCAAAATCCCATTGGCTCTTTTTTGCCACCACATGACATTGTTGGCTCATGTTTAACTTGCTGTCCGCGAATGAATGAAGAAGAATGGAAGACCAGGAGTTCTAACAGCTGATCCCACAACAGAGGAGCTGCCAACTTCACATGTGTTCTCCTAACTGGATTTATAGTATGTATAGTATAGTATTTATAGTATAGTCAACCTGGGTTGAACCTGGGACCATCTTCAGGTAGAATCATAGTTGGAAGAGACCTGGTGGGCCAGCCAGTCCAACCCCCTACCAAGAAGCAGGAAAATTGCATTCAAAGCACCCCTGACAGATGGCCATCCAGTTCTGTTAAAAGCCTCCAAAGAAGGAGCCTCCACCACACTCTGGGGCAGAGAGTTCCACTGCTGAACAGCTCTCACAGCCAGGAAGTTCTTCCTCATGCTCAAGTGGAATCTCCTTTCTTGTCGTTTGAAGTCATTGCTTCAAATGCATCCTAGTCTCCAGGGCAGCGGAAAGGAAGCCTGTTCCCTCCTCCCTGTGACTTCCTTTCACATGAAGCACTCTCTCCTCTCTGAGCCACAGGGACCTCTGCCTACTTTTGTCTGCTGCCTCCCCTGCATCAAATCATTCTCTCTGTCCTGCTCACCGCAGAGGCCACAAAGATATCCGTAGTAGGACGGTGGGACGGAGACTTCAGCATGATGGTTCCCGTCAAAGCGCACCGAGAGGCCAAAATCCGTTTGTACCAAGACGAACGTGCCACTGAGTCGCACCCACACCCGGTCCTCGGCCAACGAAACTGGCAAGGTCACTCGCTGCCCGTTCACCTGCAGTGCAGGAGACACAAAAAGGTAAGCAAACCTCTCGCTTCTCAAGAGGAATTGTTTGGCTGAGCTGCTCAGAGGACAGTTGATGATCTCCCCGAGGACATGGCAACGAGGGGATGCAGCTCTTGGGCCAGTGGGCTTATTCAGAAAAGACCCTCTTCATAAATGCATAGCAGAGTAACTTATCAGCAGCAGAGTGACCCAGCACCAGGAGCCCAAAGTGATGAAAACACACAGACCAAGGTGATCTCTTCCTTAGGAGGCTTTTCTTTGTAGCAAAATAATATGGTTGAACTATTTACAAGGTTGCCATAACACAAATAAACAAATACATTGTAGCTTTTGTGGTGAAGTGTGAATTTTAACCTACAGTCATGTATAATTATAGGTAGGTGTTTAAAGGGGTAAGTATTTAAAAAAGGAGAAGAGAACCCCAGTAAGAATCTTTACTGTAACAGAGGGAAATAATAGGCTAGTACCTGGAGTGATCTGTTAAGGAAAGAAACACATTTTGAAGGAAATAAGTTTAAAACCAGTCTAGTGGAAAGAACAGTCCTCTTAAGAGTTGTTTTATGAAAGGTTATAAATGTAACCACTAAAGGAATGTACCTCTAGGAGTTAAGAAACATTGAAACCATTAAGCTTCTATACTTCAATAAACTTATTACAGTTTCTCTTAAATCCAAGTCTCTGTTTCGTATACTTTCAAGTCAAGCCGCACTACAAATCAAAGGAAGATAAACAGCTAGTGGCTGTGTTATCGATTTTGTAGATTCATTACAAATTGTAGGAGGCCCTGACAAAGCAGTAACGTCCCTACAACTGGTGGCGTTGTTACAGCTTTAAACACAGCAGCCTTCACACTGGAGCTTTCTCACACAAGGCTTCTCTCAGCAGGCCTTCATATTTGGCCTTCTCACAGACTAAGGCCTACCTCACACTGTGAGGCCTACCTCATAGACTGAGACCTTTCTCCCACTGAGATTTACCTCAGACTGAGGGCTACTAAGCTACAGGCACACCTACTTATATAGAACTGCAGCTTTTGCTGAGTCATTGCATCCATTTAACCCTTTCAGTGCTTGACTCACATGTTTTGTAATTAGAAATACCTAATTAATCTTTAATCTATATAAATAAAAATGTAATGTTCATTTGTGGGATTAACATAACTGAAAAACCAATGGACAAATTGACACCAAATTTGGACACAACACGCCTAACAGGCCAACGAGTGATCATCACTCATAAAAACAAGGAAAATCGCATGTTTTGTAATTAAAAATACCTAGTTAATCTTTAATCTATTAAATAAAAAATGTAACGTTCGTTTGTGGGATTAACACAATTGAAAAACCACTGGACAAATTGACACCAAATTTGGACACAACACACCTAACAGGCCAACGAGTGATCATCACTCATAAAACACGGAAAAACACAGCGGAGGGGACTTAAAAAGCCAAAAAAGCAAAAAGACGCTACACTGCATGTGCAAAAATGACTCCCGCAGCAAACAAAACATACAATTGCACACATACACACACACATATGTACATATACACATGCACATATACACATACAGACATACATATATACACATATATATGCATATACACAAGCACATATACACAATATATATATATACACATATAAACACAGAAATACACAAATATATACACACACACTGCCACACCTCAGAGTAGAACCACCTTGCTTTAGACACCAAACAGCACACAAGCAATAGTCTTTATGGTTTATTAAAGTAAAAGGTAAAAATTTTTAAAAGGCAAAAGTATAGTCCCAAAGATCAATACAAGATAACACTGGAAAACAGGATCCACGAAGATATAAGCAAGGCAAAGTCCCATGAGGACATGACAAAGTCCTGAAACCATGAACATGAAAACTGTAAGACAAATCCTAAGTCTCTTGGCTAAAGCAAGAAATTGCTCTGACACTGGAGTATTTTCAAACAGCCTGTTTAATACCCTTTGGAAAACATGAAGGCGTTCCTCTGGCCCTTAGCCTCCCTCTCTCTCTCGCTAGCAATTCTCACACTCCTTCAAACCTTAAATTCCAAGCGATCAGCTCGATCTAAAGCTCCGGCCTCATCAAGGTCAATCTGTTCGTTAGTGCGTTCTTGCTCATTATCTGGCTGAGAACAACTGTCCTCCCTTCCTGAATCAAAATGCACCTGGCTCTCAGTAGTTTCATTATGAACAGCGTCATCCCTTGCTGTGGGAAACAACTGAACTTCTGTACCCTGTTCTTCCTTGTCTATCACATCGCTTTGCACCTGACTGTGAATCTAAATCCAATCATCTGTTGCATCCCAGTTCAAGAAACGAGACCATAAGATTAAATCCACCATACTGCACTGTAGGAAAAGCAATCCTTGTTTATTGATGAAAAATTGGTTACAAAAGAAAGGTAAATGCAAAGTCAAAAACCCACAGAAAAACACAGCAGTCAGTAGAATCTCTGAACTTGAGCAAAATTTCAAAAGCCACAATACAAGAACCAGGAACCTGTTAGCCTTTTACTAACCATGAACTTGATAACTAAGCCTCTGGGATTACCAGCCATGAAACACAGGAATTCTGCCAAGGCACAGCCACAGTCCCAAACGTTGCTTGATCTAAAGAGGCACCCGGCAGGAGGCCTCTTAAACCAAAGAAGCTATTCTTTGAAACGCCCCTTGACTTTGAAGCCTGGGCCTGTCTCTCCTGTAAACGATGTGACCTTCGTAGAAACTGGGAAACATTTCTGTCTCTAACTATCTGTTCTCTTCGGTCCTCATTAAAAACCCCAGGTGGAGAGATATCACGGCTAGTGATATCACGGCTAACTTCCAAAACATTTTCCTCCAGCTGTTGAGTTTCATTTTCATCCCCGCTGACCTCTGCATCAACAACAGATTCCACACTGTCAGGGTCAGGGAGAGCTTGCTCAGTTGGAAAAACTATCAGAGAATCCGGTTCACACAGATCAGGATCAGGCTGAATCCCAACAGCAGGCACTGGCAGGCACACATGCTTTCTGGGACTGTTTGCTCTCAGAGACAACGCATGAGCAAATACACACACACACATATATACACGCATACAAAAATATATGCACATACTGGGCCACAGCAACACATGGCAGGGGACAGCTAGTAATCTATATAAATAAAAATGTAATGTTTGTTTGTGGGATTAACATAACTGAAAAACCACTGGGTGAATTGACACAAAATTTGGACACGACACCCTTAACAGACCAATGAGTGACCATCATTCATAAACCTCCCCCCAAAAACAGCAGAAAGGACTTAAAAACCAAAAAAACTAAACAACAATTAAGTGCATATTTCCAATTTCCTATTCCTGGACTGCAACTGTCAGCAATCCTCTAGATAGATAAGATAGATAGATGACATAGAGATAGATAGATAGATAGATAGATAGATAGATAGATAGATAGATAGARAGATAGATAGACAGATAGACAGATAGATTGATAGATTGATCAGGAGGACTGCTGGGAGTTGCAGTCCAAGGATTGGTAGAGAAGGAAGAAAGGAGAAAAAGAAAAAACAGGAAAGATAAAGGGAGGGAAGGAAGGAAAGAGGTAGAGAAGGAGAGAAGGAAAGAAAAAAGGGAAGGAAGGAAGGAAGGAAGGAAGGAAGGAAGGAAGGAAGGAAGGAAGGAAGGAAGGAAGGAYYGAAAGGGGAGGGAAGGTTGGCCACAGCAACGTGTGGCGGGTACAGCTACTTTTTAATATTTCTGACAAGCATCTTCTGGACCATGAATATTTCCTTGCGAGGTTTTCCAGAGCCCAGAAGCAGAACTCACAGTGACCCTCCGCGCTTTCAGGAGTACGATTTCGGTCCCATAGACCTCCACGCTGACGGACTTGACGTAGGACACCTGCTTGTTGGCCCCTCGGTGTTCGTTGGTGGCCTGGACCCTGAAGGTGGGCAGGCCTGCGGTGGCGTTGCAGACGGTGGAGAGCAGGTACGTGCAGGTGCCCATGAAGTGGAAGAGGCGCCCGTCGTAGGTGGTGTAGTGGGGGTCTCCCGAGATGGTGCAGATCCCTTGGCCTGTGGGAAGGGACAGGGAAGAGTCAGTGGCTTCACTCAGAGCTTGGGAAAGTTGGAAAAAGTTACTTTTCTGAAGCACAGTACAAAATCCCCAAACCTCCATGATCCCAGGTTATCTGCAGTATTGTCTTCCTCTATATAATCCAACTGCTACACCTTTAGGGATGCACCTACTTTGGCCTATAAAGCCCTAAACGGTTCCGGCTCAATTTACCTGTCCGAACACATCTCCCCCTATGAACCACTGCCTGCCTCAGGGGAGCGTGCTTGCCCCATCCATGTTCAACATCTACACAAATGACCAGCCACTGCCAGAAGGGACAGAGAGCTTCATCTATGCTGATGATCGTGCCATTACTGCTCAAGCATGGAGCTTTGAGATGGTGGAACAGAAGCTCTCCGAAGCTCTAGGTGCCCTTACTGCCTATTACAGGGAAAACCAGCTGATCCCTAATCCATCCAAAACACAGACATGTGCCTTTCATCTCAAGAACAGAGAAGCATCCCAAGCTCTGAGGATCACCTGGGAAGGAATCCCACTGGAGCATTGCAGCACACCCAAATACCTGGGAGTCACTCTGGACCGTGCTCTGACCTACAAGAAGCACTGCCTGAACATCAAGCAAAAAGTGGGTGCTAGAAACAATATCATACGAAAGCTGACTGGCACAACCTGGGGATCACAACCAGACACAGTGAAGACATCTGCCCTTGCGCTATGCTACTCTGCTGCTGAGTATGCATGCCCAGTGTGGAACACATCTCACCACGCTAAAACAGTGGATGTTGGCTTTTAATGAGACATGCCGCATTATCACGGGGTGTCTGCGCCCTACACCACTGGAGAAATTACACTGCTTAGCCGGTATTGCACCACCTGACATCCGCTGGGAAGTGGCAGCCAATAGTGAAAGGACCAAGGCAGAGACATCTCCAGTTCATCCCTTGTTTGGGTATCAGCCAGCACGTCAACGACTTAAATCTAGAAATAGTTTTCTAAGATCTACAGAGACACTCGCTGGAACACCTCAGCAAGCGAGAGTCCAAAAGTGGCAGGCTCAAACCCAGAACCTTAACCAATGGCTGATACCAAATGAGAGACTCCCCCCTGGGCACACAGAGGACTGGGCGACTTGGAAGGCGCTGAACAGACTGCGCTCTGGCACCACGAGATGCAGAGCCAACCTTCAGAAATGGGGCCACAAAGTGGAATCCACGACATGCGAGTGCGGAGAAGAGCAAACCACTGACCACCTGCTGCAATGCAACCTGAGCCCTGCCACATGCACAAGGGAGGACCTCCTTGCGGCAACACCAGAGGCACTCCAAGTGGACAGATACTGGTCAAAGGACATTTAATCAACTACCAAACTCACACATTTTGTATTTTGTTTGTTTGTTTGCTTTGTTCTGTTAGAAATGTAATATAATTGACTGGTTGCCCTGACACGACAAATAAATACCACTGCGGAGATTAAGATCTTCTGGGGAGGCCCTGCTCTCAGTCCCACCACCATCACAGGTGCGTTTGTCAGGGACGAGAGACAGGGCCTTCTCAGTAATTGCCCCTCGGTTATGGAACTCTCTTCCTAATGAGATCAGGTCAGCCCCTTCCCTCTTGTCCTTTAGAAGGATGATAAAAACATGGCTGTGGGACCGACTGTGCAATGAGGCAGCAACAGGAACCCTTAGTATGCCAACCAAATTCGATATGGTTGTTGAAACAGTTTTAACTAGTGGATTTTAACGTCAAGATAAGTGATTTTAATGCTTTTGTATGTGTATGGTCCGAGACAGGACTGTGGCGCAGCTGGCTGAGTGTCAGCTGCATTAATATCACTTCTGACCCAAAGGTCATGAGTTCGAAGCCAGCCCTGGTCGGAATGAGCTTCCGACAATTGTTTAGCTTGTTGTCGACCTTTGCAAAACAAAAGACAGTTGCATCTGTCAAGTAGGAAATTTAGGTACCACCTTGTGAGGAGGCTAAATTAACTGATTTATGAGGCCATAAAGAAGACTCCAGCAAAGCATTCCAGCAGGGAAGCATGCGGGGAATGCGGAAGTGCTTCATCAGCGTCGCAGATGGACGATGAAAGCGACAGCTCCCCTGGTGGCCAGAAAAGTTAAATAGCCTCTGACTGTCTGTCTATATGTGTTGTGTGTCTTTGGCATTGGATGTTTGCCATATATGTGTACATTGTAATCCGCCCTGAGTCCCCTGCCAGGTGAGAATATAAATATAAATACTGTAAACAAATAATAAATAATATGTTTGCCCATTCAAACATATGGGCCTTAAGAAGCATTGCTAACAACAAGGCAGCAGGAGATGATGGGATCCCAGCTGAACTGTTTAAAGTCTTAAAAGATGATGCTGTCAAGGTGATGCATGCCATTTGCCAGCAAATATGGAAAACACAAGAATGGCCATCAGACTGGAAAAAATCAACTTATATCCCCATACCAAAAAAGGGAAATGACAAAGAATGCTCAAACTTTTGTTCAGTGGTGCTTATTTCACATGCCAGTAAGGTAATGCTCAAGAATCCACAATACATGGAGCAAGAGTTGCCAGAAGTACAAGCTGGGTTTAGAAAAGGCAGAGGAAAAAGAGACCAAATTGCCAATATCCGTTGGATAATGGAGGAAGGCAGGCATTTTCAGAAAAACATATATTTCTGATTTATTGACTATTCTAAAACCTTTGACTGTGTGGATCATAATAAACTGTGGCAAGTTCTTGGTGGTGTGGGGATACCAAGTCACTTTGTCAAGGACCAAGTAGCAACAGTAAGAACTGACCATGGAACAACAGACTGGTTCAAGATTGGGAAAGGCGTACGGCAAGGCTGCATCCTCTCACCCAACCTTTTTAACTTGTATGCAGTACACATCATGCGATGTGCGGGGCTTGATGAATGCAAAGCTGGGGTGAAAATTGCTGGAAGAAACATTAACAACCTCAGATATGCAGATGACACCACTCTGATGGCCGAAAGCGAGGAGGAGCTGAGGAGCCTTCTAATCAAGTGAAAGAAGAAAGCGCAAAAGCCGGGTTGCAGCTAAACGTCAAAAAAACCAAGATTATGGCAACAAGAATGATTGACAACTGGAAAATAGAGGGAGAAACCGTGGAGGCCGTGACAGACTTTGTATTTCTAGGTGCAAAGATTATTGCAGATGCAGACTGTAGCCAGGAAATCAGAAGACGCTTACTTCTTGGGAGGAGAGCAATGTCCAGTCTCGATAAAATAGTGAAGAGTAGAGACATCAGACTGGCAACAAAGATCCATTAGTCAAAGCCATGGTATTCCCTGTAGTAACCTACGGATGTGAGAGCTGGACCTTAGGGAAGGCTGAGCGAAGGAAGATTGATGCTTTTGAACTGTGGTGTTGGAGGAAAGTGCTGAGAGTGCCTTGGACTGCGAGAAGATCCAACCAGTCCATCCTCCAGGAAATAAAGCCCGACTGCTCACTGGAGGGAAGATACTAGAGACAAAGTTGAAGTACTTTGGCCACATCATTAGGAGACAGGAAAGCCTAGAGAAGACAATTATGCTGGGGAAAGTGGAAGGCAAAAGGAAGAGGGGCCGACCAAGGGCAAGATGGATGGATGGCATCCTTGAAGTGACTGGACTGACCTTGAGGGAGCTGGGGGTGGTAACGGCCTCCAGGGAGCTCTGGCGTGGGCTGGTCCATGAGGTCACGAAGAGTCGGAGACACTGAACAAATGAACAACACAATACCAAGATGCCACATATATGTTAATTAAAATATACAATGGTGTAAGATATGAAATATATAAGATAATATTATAAATATATAAAATATATCATTTTATAATAATAATATACCATATATAATAATCTATATATATATAAAAATGCTCTGTGCATAATGAGTACCTTAAAAACAAAAGAACCAATGAACGAAATCACACCAAATTTGGCAACAAAACGTCTCACAACACAAGGAGTGACCATCACTCAAAAAATTATGGTTTTGTCATTTGGGAGTTGTAGTTGCTGGGATTTATAGTTCACCTACAATCAAAGAGCATTCTGAACTCCACCAACGATGGAATTGAACCAAACTTGGCACACAGAACTCCCAATACCAATAGAAAATACTGGAAGGGTTTGGTGGGCATTGACCTTGAGTTTGGGAGTTGTAGTTCACCTACATCCAGAGAGCACTGTGGACTCAAACAATGATGGATCTGGACCAAACTTGGCACAAGCACTCAACTTGCCCAAATATGAACACAGATGGAGTTTGGGGGGAATAGACCTTGACATTTGGGAGTTGTAGTCACTGGGATTCACAGTTCACCTACAATCAAAGAGCATTCTGAACCCACGAACAACAGAATTGGACCAAACTTCCCACACAGAACCCCCATGACCAACAGAAAATATTTAAGGTCATCCAGTCCAACTCTCTTCACCAGGGCAAGAAAACGTACTCAAAGTCCTCCTAACAAAGAGCCATCCAGCCATAGATAATAGATAGATAGATAGATAGATAGATAGATAGATAGATAGATAGATAGATAGATAGATAGATAGATAGATAGATAGATAGATAGATATGATTCACACACACACAGATATAGTATCATAGATTTGAAAGGGACCCTTAAAGAAGGACAAGGATATGTTCCATGTTCCAGGGTGAGCAAACTAGACACATCAACACTGACAAAGAAACAGCAAGAAATACTGTTTACCCTACCCACAAGCAGAAAGAAATTACATATATTAGAAACCAATACTTCCTCATTATTTCCCAGATCAACAGACTGGGCCACAGCAACGCCTGGCAGGGGATGGTTAATATAATAATATAATATAATATAATATAATATAATATAATATAATATAATATAATATAATATAATATAATTGATGCGATTGTAATTTGGTGAGGCCTTCAGCCTTCTCTGCCAAAAAAGGCTGCTGCTTCCTCCCCTTACTCTTAGGAAGTTCATAAACCCCTTTACCTGGAGGTGTCACGGGCGCTGTGCTGGTGATGGTGGTCCCTATGGAGACCCCTTGTGTTGGAGTGGGTTTTGCCGTGGTCGTTGGAAGTGTTGTTGTGGTCGTAGCCTCTGGGCTAACAGGCATTTTGGTGCTGCTTCTTTCCGTGGTGGTGACCGTGGTCCGGCTAGACTCAATGGTCGCAAGGCTAGTGGTGTGTTGAGTCGTGGTTGTCCTTATCGGTGGTCTGGTAGTAGTGGTAAGACTGGGGGTACCGCTGCCTGTAGTTGTGGTGATGGCAATACTTGTGGCACTGGTGTGAGTGCTGCTTGGGCTGGTGTGGCCCACTGTGGTGGGGCTAGTGTGGCTGCTGCCTGGGGTTGTAGGTGTGGACTTGGTGCTGGCCGTTGTGGATATAGTGGTGACATGGCCAACCGTGGTCGTGTGCAGTGTGCTTGGGCTCACAGAGCTGGTCAGGAGGGAGGCAGTGGTGGTGGTCTTCCCGAGAGTCGTGGTCTTGCTTACCGTGGGGCTGGGAGGTCTGCTTGTCAGGCTGTCAGGAGATAAGGTTGTGGGACTGGTGTGGGGCAAAGTGGTGAGAGTGGTGGCACTCTGGGTGATGGTTGTGTTAGCCTGCAGAGTGGTTCCTGAGGTGGTTGTTGGTTGACCAGCGGTGTGAGTTGTTGGGCTGCTGCTGACAGTGGTTGTGCTAATGGTGGTTATTTTTGTGGTGGCTGAGCTGGTGGTAATGGGAGTGGTTTGCCTGGTGGTTGATGGGGCAGCAGTGGTGTGACCAGGGCTTTGGCTTCCCTGGGTGGTGCTTGTTTGGTTGTGACTGGGAAAGGTGGAGGGGCTGATGTGAGTAATGGCAGTAGTACTACTCTTTGGAGGGGTGGGCCTAGCCGTGGTAACAGAGGGGTGGCTAGTGCTGCTGCTGCCAGCAGTTGAAACATGGCTGGTGTGGCCTGTGGTGGTACTAAGCTGGCTACCACTGGTGGGCCTTGTGATGGGCAGTTGTGTTGAGCCACGAGTGGTGCTGGGGCTGGTGGCCACTGTTGTGCTGCCTTGAGCAGCTGTTGTACTGGTTGTGCTTGTCTTGGAGTCACTGGTGGTTGAGATGGTGGCTGGACTAGTGGTCCTAGTAGTGAGGTTGCCTTGGCTGGTTGAGGCTGGTGTTGTACTAGTGGTGCTTCCATGAGTGGTGCTTGTCTGGCTCGTAATGGGCAGTTGTGTGTGGTGTGTAGAGCTGGTGGTGGTAGTGTTGCTATGACTGGCTGTTGTGCTAGTTGTGCTTGTTTTGGAGATGCTGGTGGTGGGAGCGGGAGTGGTGGTTGTGTTGCTGTGGCTAGCTGTTGTGCTCGTCGTGGTTGTCTTGGAGTCACTAGTTGTGATAGTAGCAGTGGTGGCTGTGCTGCCATGGCTGGTTGTTATGCTAGTTGTGCTTGTCTTGGAGACGCTGGTGGTGGGAGTGAGAGTGGTGGCTGTGTTCCCTTGGCTGGTTGTTGTGCTAGTTGTGCTTGTCTTGGAGACGCTGGTGGTGGGAGTGGTGGTTGTGTCCCCTTGGCTGACTGTCGTGGTAGTTGTGCTAGCCTTGCTGGTAGAAGGGGCATCTGAGGTGGGATGGCTTGTTGGTTTGGGGACCCCAGGTGTGGTCTGGCTTCCTTGACCGGAGGTGGCTGGTGCAGTGCTGCTAACATGGCTGTCTCTGGTGGTGGCAGTAGAGTCTGATGCAGTGGTGGTGGTGGTGGGGCTGGTCAGAGTGGGCTTTTCCGGAGTGGTGTTGCTGTGGGTAGTTGGGACCACGTGGCTGGTGGGCACAGGACTGGCGGTTGTGGAGCGTGACGTCACAGGGCTCCCGGGCGGCAGGGTCACCACAGGGCCAGCGTGGGTTGACGTGGCAATTGAGGAAGTGGTCGGAGGAAGAGGCGTTCCGGAGCCTGTCAGGAGGAAGAGATGAGAGTTCAGCAGTATAAAAACAAAGAGAAGAGGATTACGTGGAAGGAAACCTTAAATGAAAAATTAAATGCAATTAAAGAAAACGAAGACCACTCTAAATTCTCATTTGTTTTTCGCCAGTCAGTTCTCTCCGTGCTCCTTCCAAGTGCATTTTTCAGTGTGGCACCTTCTCAGTTACAGCCATTGTCTCAGATATATGGGGGTGGGGGTTAGTTGAATACAGTGTTCCCTCACTTATTGCGGGGGTTATGTTCCAGGGCCACCCGTGATAAGTGAAAATCCACAAAGTAGGGATGCTTATAGTATATGAACTGTATACATACATATACGTATACTCCCCGTCTGCTCTCCCTCTGGAAAATGGGCCCCCCTCTCTCAATCTGGGCGCTACTTTCCCTCCGCCTCAAGCTCACGTCCAGCCTGGGCTCCGTGGCGCATGCGCGGTGGCACCGAGGAGGAGGAAGAGGAGGAGGAGGAGGAAGGTAAAGAGGGTGAGGAGGCTGAGCCTACACAGAGATCCATCCATCTATCCGTCCCCTTCCTCCTCCAGTGTTCCCTCACTACTTGTATACAGTACTGTATTTAAATTAATTTTTCAAAAAAACCACGAAAAAGTGAGTCCACAAAAAGTGAACTGCGAAGTAGCGAGGGAACACTGTAGTCATAAATCACAAATGTAATACAGCTTCAGTGCATGGTTTGTTTATGAGAAATCTTAAGACTCTCCTTTTTTCCACTCAGTGTTGTGGACAGTGGCGTGGAGGGGGCATGTGTCATGCCGAAAAGAAGGACGAGGAAGAGAAAAGAGAGGTGAGAGGGGAATGTTCAGGTCCCCTGAGTCAGTTCTTTACAGAAGTCATTGAATTTAATATCAAGGTCAATCTGATATGCTAAAATATGCCTCCTGTGATGTAAATGAGTTAGAGCCCTGTGTTTGTTAATGAGAGGTGAGACCTGTCCACCTCTTTCACTCAACGTTTCATCTGCCGACGTAAAGCACTGCCGAAGTCTGCAAGCACCCCGCCACCCTGTGCTATCTGCAAAACCTCGGTGTTTTATTTAGAACTACTAAAATCCCAATAATAACAATAATATATATATATATATTGGTTGTGTCAGGAGCGACTTGAGAAACTGCAAGTCACTTCTGGTGTGAGAGAATTGGCCATCTGCAAAGACATTGCACAGGGGATGCCTGGATGATTTGATGTTTTTATCATCCTTGTGGGAGGCTTCTCTCATGTCCCCGTATGAGGAGCTGGAGCTGATAGAGGGAGCTCATCCGCCTCTCCCCGGATTTGAACCTGCGACCTGTCGGTCTTCAACCTGCCGGCACAGGGGTTTAACCCACTGCGCCACTTGGGGCTCCAATAATAATAATAGTAATAATAATAATAATAATAATAATAATAATAATAATGACTCCACTCTGCCTCTTGCCCTTTTGTAAGGCACCCCTTTGCTTTGGCAGGACAGTCATCAGTGGACTTGACGGGATCCCCTCCTTCTACTGTCGTCAATCTCAATTGGCAACAGGAAATAAAGCAATGCCGCTTCCTGCTGCCATTCTGAGAGCGCCTGCAAAGCAAAACAGAAGCATTTGGGCTTGCTGTGGGAAGGGTGAGACCCTGGGGAGGTCTGGCTCCCATGCCATTGCCTGCTGCTCTCATATCCCTTTGGGAGAGATATAGAATGAGGGTCTCCTCTTTTGGGGCTCAAAAACTTATCTCCTCCCTCTGAATCCCTTAAGCATTTATCCAGATCTTATTTACTTATGGGGCTGCAGTAGCACACTAGGTTAAACAGCTAGCTGCAGAAAAACTTGCCGACCGGAAGCTCGGCAGTTTGAAGCCACCGGTCGGGGTGAGCTCCTGGCCGTTAGCCCTAGCTCCTACCAACCTAGCAGTTCGTAAACATGTACTGTGTATTCGGCAGGAAGGCAAAAGGCATCCATGTCGCCATGCCAGCAAAACACGACCAGGAGAATCTAAGGACACCAAGCTCCTCGGCATTGAAAATGGAACAAGAGCACCTCCCAATGGCTAGAGCTGAGCATTGCCTCCAGACACCGAAGATGGAAAGGGAAACCTTGGCCTTTGTTTGTGTATTGTATGTCATTCTTCACGGTATAAAAGGCATTGAATCTGTGCCTATATAAGTGTATACTGTAATTTGCTCTGAGTCTCCTCGGGGAGATAGAGCGGAATATAAATAAAGTGTATTATTATTATTAGTATGTATTATTACTCATCATCAGGTAGGTTGCCTCCAAGCAGAGGTGCCTCTTTAGGCACCGACATGTGTAACAAGGCCACAAGACTTAGAGCAAATGACTCCCTGCGCAACCTCACCTGAGCAAGGTCCTCTGCGCACGGAGATGTTGTCCAGGGAGACGTCCAGGTAAGGGTGGTTCCCCCGAACCACCTCAAAAAGCACCTGAGTCAAAGCAGAGACAAGAAGTCTTTCGTAAGTCCTTGCCCTGCAGAGGCCAAGGGAGCAGAAGCAGAGGAACATGATGCAGAAGCCCCCCTAGCTCCAGATTACACAAGTGACCAATGGAACCACAGGGAACATCAACCAGGTTGGGCCAACTTCAGTGAGGAGGGACACCAATGACAAACACACATCCTCATAATAGTTGGAACAGTATCGGGACAAAGAACCAAAGCTGCTGAAATTAGAAATGCTGGCATGGCACCTTGGACCCTAGCAAAATGCTACTTTTGGGGGACAATAGCTCCCAGACCCTAGCAAAATGCTACTTTTGGGGGGCAATAGCTCCCAGACCCTAGCTAAATACTACTTTTGGGGGACAGTAGCTCCCAGACCCTAGCAAAATGCTACTTTTGGGAGACAGTAGCTCCCAGACCCTAGCAAAATGCTACTTTTGGGGGACAATAGCTCCCAGACCCTAGCAAAATGCTACTTTTGGGGGACAATAGCTCCCAGACCCTAGCTAAATGCTACTTTTGGGGGACAATAGCTCCCAGACCCTAGCAAAATGCTACTTTTGGGGGGCAATAGCTCCCAGACCCTAGCAAAATGCTACTTTTGGGGGACAATAGCTCCCAGACCCTAGCTAAATACTACTTTTGGGGGACAGTAGCTCCCAGACCCTAGCAAAATGCTACTTTTGGGGGACAATAGCTCCCAGACCCTAGCAAAACGCTACTTTTGGGGGACAATAGCTCCCAGACCCTAGCAAAATGCTACTTTTGGGGGACAATAGCTYCCAGAATGCCCCGCCCAGCCTATTTGGCATAAATTAACAAATTAACATGGGTTTAAAGCCAACCTTAAAAACKATGGCATAGACATCGAGAACTGGGATGCCCTGTCCCTTGATTGCTCTTACTGGAGGTCAGCTGTGACCAGCAGTGCTGCAGAATTCAAAGAGGCATGAATAGATGGCGAGGGAGAAAGGGAGAAACGTGCCAAGGAACGTCAAGCCAACCCTGACCGGGACCGCCTTCTATCTGGAAACCAATGTCCTCACTGTGGGAGAACATGCGGATCAAGAATAGGGTTCCACAGCCACCTACATATCCACCGCCAAGACACATCACTTGGAGGACCATCATATATGGTTAGCACTGTGCTACTCACCCTGCTTGGCTGCGGCCCACCATACGGCACCGTCACGGATCCAAAGAGCCACGCAGGGCTTTGGATCCCACTCCGGGTCCAGAGCGTGACCTCTGCTCCAGAAGGTCCCTCCAGCAGCACCCGGAGCTGCGTCTGGACTTCCACAATACCATACATGTAATAATAGAATTCCACACAGGCTTCCGTGTCGGTGCAGAAGGCCCGGCTGGTCAGGCGGAGGGACTGGCCCGGTTTCAGGGAGCCCCCTTCTGCGTAGATGTAGTAGCCCTCTGCAGAAAGAGGACAGGCTTTCAAGTTCAGAACACAACCCAGAGTGAAGTAATGATGTCAATGACATGGGAGACACTGGTTGCCACCAGGGACGAAGCCTAGGCTTTTGCTCTTCCACACTAAACCCAGAGACTCATAGAAAAGTTACACTGAACGCAGGCATGGGCTAACTTTGGCCCTCCCTCCAGATGTTTTGGACCTCAACGTGGGTATGCAGATGACCATTGGGTTGACTTAACTCTCCAGTTCCAAGAGGGCAAAGCTATGGGCCAACTTCAGCCCTCCCTCCAGGTGTTTTGGACTTCAATTCCCATAACATGTGTATGCAGATGACCCCTTGGTTGACTGAAGTGTCCAGTTCCAAGAGGACAAAGCCATGGGTCAATTTCAGCCCACCCTCCAGGTGTTTTGGACTCCAATTCCCATAACATGTGTATGCAGATGATCCCTTGATTGACTGAAGTGTCCAATTCCAAGAGGACAAAGCCATGGGTCAACTTGGGCCCTCCCTCCACATGTTTTGGACTTTTACTCCTAAAAAGTGGGATGCAGATGATCCCTTGATCCACATCCAAGAGGACAAAGGCCTGGGCCAACTTCGGCCCTCCCTCCAAGTGTTTTGGACTCCAACTACCACAATGTGGGGATGCAGATGACCCCTTGGTTGAGTGAAGTGTCCACTTCTAAGAGAGCAAAGGCATGGGCCAACTTGGCCCCTCCCTCCATGTGTTTTGGACTCCAACTCCCATAATGTAGAGACGTAGATGACCCCTTGGTTGATTTAAGTGTCCAGTTCCAAGAGGACAAAGCCATGGGTCAACTTCAGCCCTCCCTCCAGGTGTTTTGGACTCCAACTCCCATAACATGTGTATGCAGATGATCCCTTAAGTGACTGAAGTGTTCAGTTCCAAGATTACAAAGACATGGGCCAACTTGGGCCCTCCCTCCAGGTGTTTTGGACTCCACCTCCCACAATACCTAACAGCCTACTGGCTGTTAGGAATTGTGGGAGTTGGAGTCCAAAACACCTGGAGGGAGGGCTCAAGTTGGCTCATGCCTGGCTTAATGAGTCACTTTCTCAACTCCACTCTGTAAGAGGGATTATCGAATATTTTTAGGAAATTGATTTCTGAGTCCCGGGTTGTCCTCGGCTGCTTACTTCCATCGGGGTAATCTCCTGGGGGCCCGGTCTCTTCGGTCGGGGTGGAATGGTTGGTCCGTGTCCAGGAGACGTCATCATTATCGCCGGAACCGACCCAGCCGCAGAAGGGATTTGCATTGTCGTTGAAGTTGCACTGGGTGAAAACCTCTGGGGATGGGGAGCGGAAAGGAGATTAAGAGTCAGGGAAACCTTCTCTGATACAGGCCCCTCTCCTCTCCCCAAATGCCAACCCTGAGGCGCAGGGGTGAAGTTACCTTCACAAGGTGAGACGTGGATGCTGTCCACTGCCAAGCCAGGTTTGCCTCTGTAGGTGCCTTCGAAAACAAACTAGGGAGGGAAAGCCATGAGTGGTCATGGGACACACTTTCAGAGATTCTGGTTTTGCAAAAGGTTATGATCTCTGAAAGGTCATGCCTTTCCAAAACAACCAGATTTGGAATTTAAGTAAGTGATTATTCTGCAAAAAGTGGCTATTATAATCTAGAACCCTTAGCCCTGATTTTTGTTCAGGCTCAACATAATTGGAAGTGCTTCTTCCTCTATTGCAACCAGATTTGAAATTTAAGATAGTTCTTATTGCTGTAAAAGGAGGTACTGGATACCTCCTTACACAACATTGGAAAGCTTATTTGCTAGTGTGAGCTGAAATATGCTAGCGCTACTGTTTTCAGGACAAAGACCCAGTGATTTTCACCACAAATCACACACTGTCCAGATAATCCAATGTAAGAGTATATTAAAAGCAGAATATAATAAAAGCTGAGTATATGAAAAGCAATCAAATATATAAAAAAAGGAATCAAAGTTCAAAAGATTATGTCAATGGAAGCCAAAAGTCCAAAAATCCCTTTAAAGAAAGGCTCTAAAATAACTCCAGTGTGATATGGAAAGGCAAGGTACATAAATCCAAGCAAACAAAACTATGTCACTCAAAGAAAAGATACATAAATCCAGAACAGCCAAAACTATACCTCCCAAGACCAGAATGCAAGAACAGCTTGGTTACTTGGTTACATGAATTTCATGGTCCTTGACACTGAGAGCTCTGTACCTGAATGCAGTGTTGCTCTCACACAGATTGTATCACAACATGAACCACTTTTAAAAAGCCAAAATCCCTCCCATGAGATCATTTTGTTTGCACCTGCTCTCCGCGGCCTTATCTTGAAGCCACTTTGAGCAGCGAGTCCTTAATTGGAAGCCCTGTTGTCTCAACTCTGATCTTTCTTGCCTCAACAAACATTTGTCCCCTTCGGTCTGCACTTCTAACAAATTCCCATGGGAACGGCCTTCACTGTTCTCTTAGGAATTGCCAGGAAATTGAAACACATTTCTGCCAGGAGATTCCAAAAAATTTGTCTCTGACCCCTATGAACCATTCCCAGCACCCCCAGCCTCATCTTCTGAACACTCAGAATCAGATTAGGCTACAAGAGCTCAGATATTAAGTGACACAGCGGAGATTTCAAGATCCCCAGGCACGAAAGCACCCAGAGGTGCCTTTATTGTTTTTGTCTTCCTGAAATCCCTTTCTCCTCCCAAGGTGTTTGCTCTTTGTTTATGCGGATAAGGACTGCCTGCCCAAAGCCTCAATTTTGTTGAATCTCCTTGGGTTCCTTACCTGGACCTCGGCTGTCCCAGTATAATTGACCACTCCCGGATTCCAGTTGGGTCCATGCTCCCCACTGAGAGTCAGCAAGGGGGCTCCCAGTTCTCCCCCTGTTCAAACAGAAATGCAGAGAGGAGGAGGAAACTTAATACCAAACTGTCATCCTCCCAAGGTGCCCCGAGAAGCCCAGAATCCGGTGGGGTTGTCATAAAGCCTTGGCTGGGTGGGAGAATGGGCATACCTACCTGCCACAGCCGCTGCGTAGACCTTGAGCGTTGTATCACTGGAGACACCATGGAGAGTGTAATAGAAGTCAAGGGAGAGGCAGCCCCCCTGGGACTCATACAGAGGGCTTTTGAGGAGGGCCGTCCCGCTGTTTTTTGAGTCAAAGGAATCCAGTAACATGTAGGAGCCGACTGCAAGGAAGGCCGAGAAAGAATCAGGGTCTTCCTTATACTATTTGTGTCAGGTTTTACAATGTATTGCAATGTAATGTAGCTGAGTCATGCACTGCTAATGGGCTTCTATTGGAAATGCTGAGTCATGCATTAACTGTATATAGGGAATAATTTGGGGAATGTGTTCTGGCCTAGTCCAGGTGATTGTGAATGATGTAATCCTGGGTCTGAGTTAAGTTAATGAGTTGGGAACCAATCAGAGATTGCTATGTGTAATTGTATAGAATTGTATATAAGGAAGTCATGTACAGTGTATATTTCTCCTTGTGCTGTGATGTTGTTCGTCGAAGGCTCTATGTAATTAAAAGAACCTGTCTGCTAAGACAAGATATAACTGTATGCTGTGGTAAGTTTGTAATATCATCTAGACTGGAGGAAAGACAATGGTAAAACTGACAATGGCCAGGCATGTGCTCAAGTGTCTGTAAAAGGTTCCAGCGTGGCTGCAGGCTGTGGGAGCAGTTGACTGAAAATACTGTGCAGGAAGAAGCTACTGGAAAGCGCTGAAGTTGTGCAACTGATCCGATGCTAAATTGTGAAGTTAATCTCAACAATTTGTTTATTTATTTACAGCATGTATATTCCGCCCTTCTTATCCCGAAAGGGACTCAGGGCGGATCACAGAACATATGTTCGGCAAACATTCAATGCCGTTAGACAGACAGGACAGACAACAGATTGAGGTATGTATCGGCATTTTCCCCAACTTTGGCGTCCTGGAGGTTGTGCTCGATTCCAGCCACAGGGGGGTGCTGTCACTCCATACTCTATGACGAAGAGCGCTTGATCACAGACTTCCTCCTCCCTTTGATCGCAGGCATTTTCTGGTACTTCCTTTCTATGGTGCCGTAAAATGCCTCCCCACTTAAGTAGTGCCCAATTTCTCTTCTCACAGCACAGCTGTTTTCAAACTGCTTAGGTGGACAGTGAGCTGGGCAGAAGGTTGGGTGCTCACCCTGAACCATGCTTCTAATTGCCAACCTTTCAATTGGTGTGATCTGTTGCTGCTGGTGATTAACTCGCTGTGCTAAAGCCAACCTCCTGAGTCCAAGACCAAAAGTGAGACTCCACCTGCAAACCCCAGAAGGCTATTGCTTGTGATAGTCAGAGCCAACAATACTGAACTGGATGGATCCCCAAAAGTATGACCTTGTTCAGGGGCAGCTCCCTAAATTCATGCATTATTAAGGTCCTAGTCCTCATTGATATCTCCACACAGGACAAGGAAAGAATCCGGTGGAGAGCCATGCCTGCCAGTCAGAGCTGATGGTACTGGTCCAGATGGACTCTAAATGTGCAGTGACACATTCTGACATGTTTTTATATGGATGGTCTTAGGTTTAATCTTTGGAAATAATCCTTTTTGAAAAGCGGAAGCGCTACCGCAGCTGCCACTCAGGGTTGACAAGGTTCTCAAGGGCCATAGGGAAGCTTCCTATGCAGAAAGATCCCGGTTTCAGGAGGGAGGAACTCACATCCCGGTTTGGAGAAGTCGTCCGCCGGTCCCACGTCGGGGTTGTCACCTGCCCCAGTCCACTGCTCCCACTGGATGTCCCCTTCAGCTGGGTTCTCCCACCCGCAGAGGTCACCAATAGAGTCAAAATCACAGCCGGTCACACAGGCTGCAGAGCAGAAGCAGCAAGCAGCAGAGAGAGAACAAGGAAGGGAGGATCCCTCAGTTGAGATGGAAGGAAGTGGAATTTGGCCCACCAAAATGTCACCAGGATTCATTGCAAATGGGCCCTAGACTCCAACCCAAAAGTCTCTCAGCGCATGGGGAGAAAGTCAGGGTCACTTACGCGAGCAAGGCCCGACCCTGATGGAGATGGAGTCCAGCCCCATATCGATTTCCGTGGTCTCAGCCCGGGTGGCTGCAAACACAACCTGCGAGGAGACAGACAGACATAATTAACTTCAACAGTTGGCGTCAAAGCCCTTTGGTCTTATCTCAAACTGTCAAAGAGCCATTTAAGGTAGCCAAGACTAACCCCAAACCAGGTTTTAGAATCTTTAACAACTTGTTTAAAGTTCAGACTTAAGTCAGGAGCAGATTCCCCGCTCCCGCCCACGTGGGAGCCACCAGTTGCCACTGGGAAAAGACTGGGGATGTGAGAGGAATGAGGACCGTGCCCTCAGGCATGTAGCCGGGGGGGGGGGGGCTTGAGGGGCTTCAGCCCCCCCCCCCCCGAAATTCTCATGGTGGTTCGTGAAAAGGCCTTACTGGTGCATTATTTAAACTGTTATGTTTATTCATATCATGATCTGATCACCATACTCAATATATCCCATATGCATGATGGGGGGATTGGGGTAACGATACAAAAGGTTTGCTAGGCTAGACCCTCTTTCACTCAGACTCAGCCCTCCCTGAAACTCAGCCCCCCCAACCCCCCGAATCGAAATCCTGGCTACGAGCCTGCGTGCCCTGTTCCTGCCCTTGCTCCAAAAGATTACCTGAAAGGGACGCCGGACGGGGTTCTGTACAGTCACAGTCCCCAGGAGCCAGGACGAACTCTGCATCCCTCCTTTGGTCCACAGCGTTGAGGCGTTTCCAGAAGCATCCTGGACTTTCACTGCCAGCTGGGCACTGGTACTTAAGCTGTACAGGTAATAGAGGAATTCCACACAGATCTCGGCTGCGTCCGGATCCAGAGCCGGGCTTTGCAACTGCACCGTTTTCCCTGCTTCTGGGTAGATGTAATATCCTCCTGGAAAAAGGCAGAGAGCAGTTGGTCTGGGACTGTTTTTGAAGCCGAACATGACCCCCCCCCCCAACCATTAGAGATAGTAACTTATAGTTTGCTAAGGGCAAGGACACCAGATTGGATAATAAGGGTTAAGCCTTGGTCAATTTGGTGTGTATCATTTAATCAAGGCTTTGTGCCCTATTTTCATATGTTTACAGCAGAAGGTAACCAATTTATTACTGAAAACCATGCCACAAAAGTATTTGAATTTTCCCACCTGAGGCACACCTGGGCTCCTGATGGTCCCCCATCTCACAAACACGGGACTCTCTTTCCCTCTCATGGATAGATTTCCCTTTATGGACCTTCCTATGAATAATATGAACTATGGACACTGGGGGAAGGTAGTTGGGTTTACTCTCTGTACTATTACTTCTATATTTTCATATTTTCTGCTGTATTTCTATATTTCCCTTCATGTATTTGACCTGGCCCTGACCCTTTTGCCCCCTTCCCCTCTCCTTGGGGGAAATCTACAAGGAAACTGCCTTGCCTCTGGAAAAGCAATCAGCGATCAGGAAAAGACCCTTCTCTTTGGACATTCTTTGCATGGACAATAATAAAGGAAATCCTTCTGTCTTCAGAGTTGGGCCACCATTAGGATTTCCGTTTGGCAGACTTTTTAATCATATAACAATGTGAGGAATATGACCTTAGGAAAGCCCTCTTTTCCTCCAAGTCGTTTTTCTTTCAAATCTTTCCACTAAGGACATTCACAAAAGTTTGTGCCCTATCTGATTGTAAGAGGAAAACCTGGATTAAGCCATCAATGCTTATCGCAGACCCATCTCAGGACAATAAAGTGGCTTCTCTGGAAGGCCTATCCCCAGCCTCGATAAGCCTAAGGACATTAAAACTCCATAATCCACTCCAGAATGCATTGTCTCCCTTCATCCCGCCTCCCTCCCTTCTGATTCGCTGGAGCGTCGAGATAGCAGGAGCCTCCTGATAGGCTCTGGCGCCCCGCGAAAGCCCTGTGATTGGCCCTGATGCATGGGGACGGCCAAGCCTCCTCCCAGCTGTTTGCGCGTCAGCCAATCCCCTTCAAGCTGGGCGGGAGGGGGGAGTGGGAATTTTGAAACTCACAACTCTGCATTTTCTATCAAAATGGCCTTTATTTCTGTAACCACATGCTCTGCTTGGTGAATGATTGCTGCTCTGCATCCTTTTCAGCTAAATCGCTAATAAACCTCGGTGGCACTTCCTTCCACTTGGTGAGACCTTTTATTGGGAAAAATCAGGGATTGGGTGTTTCTCTCTGTCTCGCCAGGGTAACGAACTCTTTAAGGAGTCTGATTGGTCTCTGCCTCCTGGCAAAGACCCCTAAATTCCAGCACTATAACATTTTGATTTTGTTTCAGGGGTTGGAGATGTAGCTGGGACCCACAGGGAGGAAGGTGAAGCATGGAAAGGAGGGTCTTTCGCCAGCCTTAGTTAACCAAGCTATATAAGCCAAGCCGGAGAGGTAACGAAGGCTCTCTGAGTGCTTCTTAGCCAGCTTTGCATACCCTCCAATGGTCTGGTTTGATGTGATCAGCCCTGCTGGGGTTACATACAGGTATGGGCAAACTTTGGCCCTCCAGGTGTTTTGGGCCGGCTGTTAGGAATTGTAGGAGTTGAAGTCCAACACACCAGGAGGGCCAAACCCATACTTGGGTTACAATGTCTTACTCCGCTCAGGCTTCCCTCCTGGAGGGCCAGGGCTCTGCCCAGGCCTTGGCCCATCGCCTCGGAGCCACTGCCCGCCGTCGTCCTCGGATTGGGTCCAGCCACAGAAAGGGCGCTCTGCATTGTCGAAGTCACAGCTGGGAAGGGCGGCTGTGGGGGAGAAGAAGCAAAGGCAGGCAAACTCCGGTTAGCAAACTCCGTGTATCCCTAATTATTATTCCTTTTTTTAACAAACACCTGGCACTGGAGGTAATAGGGAATGAATAGAAAGGGGGGGGGGTCTTGCAACACAAATTAAGGCAGGTTTCCTCTTTGTTTGTGAGTCTCAGCAAACTTTTTGTATCCCAAACTATTATTTTTGATGGCCAGACTTTTATATTTATGTGTTGAGGCTCAGCAGCAAGATGCTGGGGATGTTGGGGATTCTGATTCAGAGGATGCGGTTTTCACTTAGTCTGTGTCTATTCCTCAGGTTGAAACACAGACAGAAATGCAGGCCATAGATCACAGAGATAGGCCAGGGCTTCTCAAGGATGCTTCTCTTGAGAATCAACCTTCCCGGCCTTCTCAGCCTTCAGAAGATGAGGAGTTGCCCCATGATATGAGATTAGGTCTCTGCTTGGAGAGGGCTAAGGAAACGTTAATTAGAAGGTCAGAGAGAACCCAGGAGGGGAAACAGTCCTTATAGTCCTTGAAACACAGGTGCCGAAGAGATGGTCTCATGTCTGTTTGCTCAGGTGTGAGCTTCAATTAGGTGCTGTTTCCCTGAGCTCTTTAGAGCAGACAACTTCCTCTTAAAATCAAGTTCATGGATAGCTCTCAAGTTTGCCTACGTTCCTGAATGGGTTTTTGTCTTGCTTAAGTTCCTGCTTTCATGCTATGGATTTTTGCCTATGCTTTTGGCTTCTTGGATTTCACATACCTTGCTATTTTGGACTTCCTGTACTTTGCTGTTATGGATCTCATGTATCTTGTTATCTTGGATTTCATGAACGTTACAGTCTTGGACTATTGATCTTTATATCTTTATATGCCTTTTGTAAATAAACTTCTGTAGTCAGCTACTACTGGACTCTGTTTGATGCTGGGTGAAAAGGTGCTCCTGACCTAGCGTGCGACATTATGCTTCTTTTAACATGCGGAGGGGAGCTGGTTATCAGTTTCCCCCCTTTGTTTTGCTCTCTGCATTTTCTTTCATCACCCACACAAGGCTGTTGCTGCTAAAGAACATCCAGCTAGACAGAGGATGAGGAAGGAAAGCAGGGGGCTGGGAGGGCATAAAAAGGTTTTGGAAAAGGAGATCTTTAGTGGAGGTTTTGTTTAATGAGGTATGTTTGCATTTATTGTTGTTGTTGTTGTTGTTATGCTGTCTTGTGGATGGGGAATTACACAGTAGGCAAGAAAGGAGACAGTGAGAAGAATAATTAATATTATTAGTGGTCTACATAAACATACCCTCCTTCCAGGCACATTAAAATAGTTGGGAAGTCTGGGCTGTTGTAGGTTTTTTCGGGCTATATTGCCATGCTCTAGAGGCATTCTCTCCTGACGTTTCGCCTGCATCTATGGCAAGCATCCTCAGAGGTAGTGAGGTCTGTTGGAACTAGGAAAAAGGGTTTATATATCTGTGGAATGACCAGGGTGGGACAAAAACCTTTGTCTGCTGGAGCGAGGTGTGAATGTTTCAACTGACCACCTTGATTAGCATTTGATGGCCTGGCAGTGCCTGGAGCAATCCTTTGTTAAGAGGTGATTAGATGTCCCTGATTGTTTTCCCTCTGCTGTTTTGCTGTTTTAATTTTAGAGTTTTTTAAATACTGGTAGCCAGATTTTGTTCATTTTCATGGTTTACTCTTTTCTGTTGAAATTGTCCACATGCTTGTGGATTTCGATGGCTTCTCTGTGTAGTCTGACATGATGGTTGTGAGAGTGGTCCAGCATTTCTGTGTTCTCATATAGTATGTTGTGTCCAGGTTGGTTCATCAGGTGCTCTGCCATAGAGGATGCTTGCCATAGATGCAGGCGAAACGTCAGGAGAGAATGCCTCTAGAACATGGCCATATAGCCCGAAAAAACCTACAACAATCCAGTGATTCTGGCCACGAAAGCCTTCGACAATACAGTTAGGAAGTCACTTACATTTTGTGGCAAAGGGTTTCTGCAATAATTCAGCACCATGGGTCTGTTTCGCCCTGAAATGAGAGAAGAACGAACAAGGTGAGAAGCAGAAAACAAGGTTTGGGATGGGCAATGTAGGTGTGCATAGATTCCTCTTTCTCTGGGGGTAAATAAATACTAATTTCCCCCCATACAGAGCAAAATCAGTGGAGGGTCCATTTCAAATTTTGTAAGAAAAATGTACCACTTTATTCCACTGCTCCCACCAACCAGACAAGACGTCGTGAAAGGAGTCAAATAGGAGGACTTAGCTTGAGAACACCTGGTCTAATTCCCTCACTGAACTACAAATCCCAAGATGGACCCTGGCAGTTAGTGTGGGGTTAGTGCCATACTGCTATACCACAACGCAGATACCTCTTGGACAAAGATACTGGCAAGGCAGGAAAGCAAAATGAAGGGATTGGACCCCAAATAAGACTTCTGCTTCCATAATGATGTTTTTCCTCCCCAAATTTCTAGTATGAAAGGGAAATAGACAAATCGCTCACATCTCGATTTCTTGTATTTGACCTTCCCTTTGTCACCTTTGCCTAGACTCGTGATGGTGAACCTATGACACGCGTGTCAGCACTGACACGCGGCCACATGAGGCCGTATATAGAGAAGTACACCTTATAAGAGCCAATCTAATTCCATCCTTAAATTTGTAAAAGGCTCTACAAATTTAACATCTGGACGTTTGAGCATTGTTCACTCCATAACTCAGCATGGAATAGACATTTTTCTTATTTAAACTATAAATATTGCAAAATTATGTTGTTGTTTTTCTCGAAGTTGACACCCCACCCAAGTTATGCTCAGGTTTTTGGCAAATTTAGACACGCCAAGCTCAAAATAAAAGGTTGCCCATCACTGGCCTAGACTGTATTTCTAAATGATCAATCAAAGTGTTGAGTTACTGCAATATTAAAAATTTGGGGAAATGCCATTGAGGAGAAGCAGAAATCTTATTTGGGAGGGACAGTCATTATTACCCTTGAGTCGAGAATCCAAGAGTTGGAAGAGACCTAGTAAGCCATCCAGTCCAACCCCATTCTGCCAAGAAGAAGGAAAATCACATTCAAAGCACCCCCGACAGATGGCCATCCAGTCTCTGTTTCAAAGCCTGCAAGGAGGGAGATTCTACCACACTCCAAAGCAGAGAGTTCCACTGCTGAACAGCTCTCACAGTCAGTTATTCTTCCTAATGTTCAGGTGGAATCTCCTTTCTTTCCTTTAGTTTGAAGCCATTGTTCCATTGCGTCCTAGTCTCCAGGGCAGCAGAAAACAAACTTGCTCCCTCCTCTCTGTGACTTTTCTTCACATCTTTATCCATGGCCCGCATCATGTCTCCTCTCAGCCTTCTCCTCTTCAGGCTAAACATGCCCAGCTCTTGAAGCCACTCCTCATAGGGCTTGTTCTCCAGATCCTGGATCATTTTGGATGCCCTCCTCTGGAAACATTCCAGCTTAGAGTCAATATTTCCCTTCAGTTGTGGTGCCCAGAACTGGACACAGTGTGATTCCAGGTGAGCTCTAACCAAGGCAGACGAGAGCATGGGGAGCATGACACTAGACTCCTGTTTATGAAGCCAAAATCCCATTGGCTTTTTTGCTGCTGCATGACATTGTTAGCTCATGTTTAGCTTGCTGTCCACAAAATACCAACTTCTTGCTTTAAGTCCCTCATAGACTACAAATCCCAGAATTTCACGCAACGGATTCTTGACCGTTTTCCAAATAATGAGATGACATAATGAGTTATCCTTTGATCCCTCTGGGGTGTTTTCCTTGCTTAAAGTTCAAGGCGAAGGCGCAAGGTCAGTTGGGCGTGGGAGGTGAATTACCTGCTGAAAATAGCTGGGGTGGGTGGGGGTAGGAAGGGGTAGCCATAAAGTAACAGTAAAGCGATAAATACCTGAGATTCACAGATCATAATATTAGAAAAATTAACTAACGTAAGAGAGGGAATCTTGGTTTGCATTCTCTCTCACATTCTTTCCAAGCTAGTGTCCTCTGGGTGCATGGATGAGGGGTTCTGGGTCTTGTGGTCCAGTGCACTAGGAAGACACCCATTTAGTAAAATCCATTCTGTGTTAAGGATGCAAGCCTCCACTAATTCTGCTCTTGAAGGCAGGAATATGTAATTTTTGCAATTTTCTTCCCACAAGGGTAAAGACCTTCTGGGAAGCAGACAGGGAAAACAACGGGCCAATTCTCTCACACCAGAAGCGACTTGCAGTTTCTCAAGTCGCTCCTGATACGCCCCATCAGAATGCATTTCTGTCAAGAAAACCCTCAGAATCGCCACAATTCAGAAATGACTTTAGCCACTTCCAAACTGCCCCTTTAGTCCAGGATCTGATCCCAGATTATCTGTTCATCTCAGGTTATCTTGCAGTGGGGACCAGGGGCGGCTCGTCCATTATGCAAAGTAAGCGGTCGCAGAACACTTTTGTTTTGCCAGGGGCGCAGAGGCGCCTCTGTAAATGCCCCCCGACCGCCACTTGAGGAGCGCCCCCTCAGCTCACAACAGCCCTAGCAGTTCTCTTCCCAAAGGGGCCGGGCCCTTGCGCCTCACCTCGCCCCTCTCGTTCCTGCTCCATCTGGCCACCGGGTGCGCGAGCAGAGCCGGCGCTCAATCGTTCTCTGCGTTCGATCCCTTCCCCATGACCGGCTCCCTTTCCCGATCCCCCGGCGCTCCACCCGCCTCCTCTCCTCTCCCCAATCCGCGGGTGGGCCAAGGGGCAGAGCCGCCGCGCCTGGCCCGCTTTGGGTCCGGAGGCGTGTCTGAAGACCCCAGCGTGCGCACCAAAAGTCGCCTCTTCTCCTGACTTTCTCTTCAGCCATTGGGACCAAGAGAGAGAGAGAGAGAGAGAGAGCCCCTCCGGCTGGAGGTATCTCCCACCTCCGCTCCCTCCTTTGTTTTTGCGCCTAACTTCAGGAAAGGTGGGCATCTCCACCTCTCTCTCTCTCTCTCTGTCTCTATGGCTGAGGAGAAAGTCAGGAGAAGAGGTGACTTTTGGTGCACACCCCGGGGTCTTCAGGCACGCCTCCGGACCCAAAGCGGGCCAGGCAAGGGAGCAAGTGCGGCAAGTGAGTAGTTACTGGGATGTATAGTTCACCTACAATCAAAGAGCATTCTGAACTCCACCAATGATGGAATTGAACCAAATATGGCACACAGAACTCCCACAACGAACAGAAAATATATATCAATAATTGGTTGGGGGGGGGGGGGGGCAAAATACTGTTTGCTTACCGTTGAAAATTACCTAGGGCCGCCTCTGCATATAATCCAGTTCAAAGCAGATAATTTGGGATCAGATCCTGAGATATAGGGTCGTGTGGAAGGGGCCTATGTGAGGCAGACACTGGACCACAATAACAAAGGGGTTTTCTTCACCAGCTTTACACAAAGGCTGTTTGCTGCCTTCCTCTCAGGCTTAAGCAAAACTAAGGATTTTCCAATATCCAAGCAGGGATTCAAACCCTGGTCTTCAACTGTAAATCAGAAACACTTTGATTTGGAAATATCGAATCAGAGAATCATAAAAGTTGGAAGAGACTAGTCTGACCCAGAAAAGCACAACCAAAGCACCCCCAGAAGATGGCCATCCAGCCTCTGTTTCAAAGCCTCCAAGGAAGGAGCTTCCACCACACTCCGAGGCAGAGGGTTCCACTGCTGGACAGCTCTTACAGTCAGGAAGTTCTTCCTAATGTTCATGTGGAATCTCCTTTCCTGTCATCTGAACCCATTGCTCCAAGTCCCAGGAGGACCAAGAGAGGGAACATAGGGTGGAAGAGCAAACCTGTGTCTGAGACCACATGGGACATCTAGTCCAACCTGCTACCATGCAGGAAAGGCACAATCAAAGTATTACCAATAGCCATCCAGCCTCTGTTTCAAAGCCTTTAAATTAAATCACATAGACAATAACATAAGCAATGACAATAATACAGAACACTTTAAAAACTATGGCTGGGCCAAATGTAATTAAAATTTTTAAATGATGCTGGTCATAGACAAGATAAGGAAAGTGGGCGTAGTGGAGACATACGAACAGACCTAAATTGATGTAAAGTGCTTTAGAGGACAAAGTGCTGAGGATTCATTATTCTGGGAAGGCACACTGGAACAACCACGTTTTCAAACTCCTCCTGAAGACTGCCAGAGTTGGGGCCTGCCTGATGTCCTTGGGGAGTGAGTTCCAGAGTCGAGGGGCCACTATCGAGAAGGCCCTCTCTCTCGTCCCCACCAATCGCGCTTGCGATGCAAGTGGGATCGAGAGCAGGGCCTTTCTAGATGATCGAAGAGATCGTGTGGGTTCGTATACAGAAATACGGTCACGTAGGTAGGCGGGTCCCAAACTGTTCAGGGCTTTGTAGGTAAGAACCTGCACCTTGAATTGGGTCCGGAAAATAAATGGCAACCAGTGGAGTTCCTTGAACAGGAGGGTTGACTGCTCCCTATAAGGAGTACCAGTTAGTAACCTGGCTGCCGCCCGTTGGACCATCTGGAATTTCCGAGCCGTTTTCAAGGGCAGCCCCACATAGAGTGCATTACAGTAGTCCAATCTGGAGGTGACTAAGCCATGGACCACCCTGTCCAGATCCACCTTCACGAGGTACGGTTGCAGCTGGCGCATGAGTCTCAATTGTGCAAAGGCCCTCCTGGCCACCGCCGACGCCTGAGCCTCAAGCGTCAGTGATGAGTACAGGAGGACACCCAAACTGCGGACCTGTGGATTCAGGGGGAGTGCAACCCCATCCAACACAGGTAGCCACCCTATACCCCGATCTGGTTTACGATCAACCAGGAGGACCTCTGTCTTGTCAGGATTAATCTTCAGCTTGTTCGTCCTCATCCAGACAGCCACAGTGGTCAGGCACTCGTCCAGCACCCAAGGGGCTTCCTTGGAATTTGGTGGAAAAGAGTAGTAGAGTTGTGTGTCATCTGTGTAGAGATGGCACCCAACTCCAAAACTCCGGATGACCTCTCCCAGCGGTTTCATGTAGATGTTAAAAAGCATGGGAGACAGAATGGAACCTTGTGGGACCCACAGGTCAAAGGCCAGGGGTCCGAGCAGGTGTCTCCCAGCTTCACCATCTGGTGACGACCCTCCAGGAAGGACCAGAGCCACGACAAAGCCGTGCCTCCCAGGCCCATCCTGGAGAGTTGTCCCAGAAGGATACTATGATTGATGGTATCTAAAGCCGCTGAGATATCCAAGAGAACCAACAGGATCACACTCCCCCTGTCCAGCTCCCTACGAAGATCATCCACCAAGGCGACCAAAGCCGTCTCGGTGCCATGGCCAGGCCTGAAGCTAGACTGTGACTGATCCAGATAATTGATGTCATCCAGGAAACCCTGGAGTTGAGAAGTGACCACCCGCTCCAACACCTTGCCCAAGAAAGGAAGGTTAGAGATTGGTCTATAGTTGTTCAGGATCGTGGAGTCAAGAGAGGTCTTTTTCAGGAGTGGTCTGACCACAGCCTATTTTAGCCCAGATGGAAAAATCTCCTTTCCTGTCATCTAAACCCACTGCTCCAAGTCCTAGGAGGACCAATAGATGAGCCCCATTCTGATGTAGTAGAGGGAGCATAGGGTGAAAGAGCAAACCTGTGTCTGAGACCACATGGAACATCTAGTCCAACCTGCTACCATGAAGGAAAGGCACAATCAAAGTATGACCGATGGCCCTCCAGCCTCTGTTTCAAAGCCTCCAAGGAGCGAGCTTTCACCACACTCCAAGGCAGAGAGTTCCACTGCTGGACAGCTCTTACAGTCAGGAAGTTCTTCCCAATGTTCAGGTGGAATCTCCTTCCTTGTCATCTAATCCAATTGCTCCAAATCCTAGGAGGACTAATAGATGAGTCCTATTCTGATGTAGCAGAGGGAGCATAGGGTGGAAAAGCAAACCTGTGTCTTGTTGTTCTTTCCCCAAAACAACGAGGACTGGAAGCTTTGTGGTGCAATGGGTTAAACCCTTGTGCCTGCTGAACTGCTGACCTGAATGTCAGCAGTTTGAATCCACGAGATGCAATGAGCTGCTCTCTGTCAGCTCCAAATCCCCATGCGGGGATATCCGAGAAGCCTCCCACAGGATGGTAAAACATCCAGGTGTCCCCTGGGCAACATCCTGGCAGACATTCAGTTATCCTGGCGTCCCCTAGGCAACATCCTTGTAGACAGCCAATACTCTCACACCAGAAGCAACTTGCAGTTTCTCAAGTCACTTCTGACATGGAAAAAATAGAAACATAAAAAACCAGAGATGTACAGTGTACCCGAATCCTACTCTGAATCCCAACATCACACTGATGCTCAAACCACAACAGAGACAAATTGGGGTCCCAACTCTTTCTGCCGCCCCCAAACCTAACCCAGGCATGGGCAAATTTCTACTCTCCAGGTGTTTTGGACCTCAACTCCCACAATTCCTAACAGCCTACCGGCTGTTAGGAATTGTGGGAGTTGAAGTCCAAAACACCTGGAGGGAGGACCCAAGTTGGCCCATGCCTGCCCTAACCCAACTTTCTTTTCTCAGCTCACCAAATCACAGCTGCGCTCTGGATGACCAGGAGCCAGGCCCAGAGGTGTGCCATCCCGCTGCCTATCCGGAGAGATGCCGGGGCAAATAGGCTGAAGGCATCTTGGCGCCTGGCAGATATACTTTCCCAGCTCCCTGGGCAGAGGGCACCGGAAATTCGTCCTTTTGCCTTTGCCCTGGGACATGCGGGCGACCCTTGTCCCCATCCCTCCCAAAGGGAACAATGACTGCTTGGCCTCTCCCTTCTCTGTGGGGCGAGGTGGGGCTCCGGCCATGAGCCAGGAAATTATTGGGGGGGGGGGGCGGAAGAGATAGGCTGGCACCAGTTGCGTGACAAACTGGGCCAGGAATGGGCAACTGAGCTGGGTCCAAAGACCATCGGTGGAGTGCCAACAGTGCTGCAAAACATATGCAGACACGGAAGAACATAGTTCTTGGCGAGCCTGCCCCACTTTTAAAACCTTTGGGTGGAGGGCTTTCTATCCACCCCTTAGATCAGTGGTTCTCAACCTTCCTAATGCCACGACCCCTTAGTACAGGTCCTCATGTTGTGGTGACCCCCAACCATAATATTATTTTCGTTGCTACTTCACAACTGTAATTTTGCTGCTGTTATGAATAGTAATCTAAATATCTCGTGTGCAGGATGTATTTTCAGTCACTGGACCAAATTTGGCACAAATACCCAATACTCCCAAATTTGAATACTGGTGAGGTTGGGGGTGATTGATTTGGTCATTTGGTAATGCTGGAGTTGCTGGGATTTATAGTTCACCTAAAATCAAAGAGCATTCTGAACTCCACCAATGAGGAGATGGAACCAATCTTGGCACACAGAACTCCCACAACCAACAGAAAATACTGGAAAGGTTTGGTGAGTGTTGATCTTGAGATTTGGAGTTGTAGTTCACCTACATCCAGAGAGCACTGTGGACTCAAACAATGATGGCTCTAGACCAACTTGGCACAAATACTCAATATGCCCAAATATGAACACTGGTGGAGTTTGGGGAAAATAGACCTCAACATTTTGGAGTTGTAATTGCTGGGATTTATAGTTCACCTACAATCAAAGAGCATTCTGAGCTCCACCAACGAGGGAATTGAACCAATCTTGGCACACAGAACTCCCATGACCACAGAAAATATTGGAAGAGTGGGCATTGACCTTGAGTTTGGAAATTGTAGTTCACCTACATCCAGAGAGCACTGTGGAATCAAAAAAATGATGAATCTGGCCCAAACTTGGAACGAATACTCAATATGCCCAAATGTGAACACTGGTGGAGTTTGGGGCAAATAGACCTCAACATTTGGGAGTTGTAGTTGCTGGGATTTATAGTTCACCTACAATCAAAGAGCATTCCGAAGTCCACCAATGATGAAATGGAACCAATCTTGGCACACAGAACTCCCACAACCAACAGAAAATACTAGTTGCCGGGATTTATAGTTTACACTGGTGGAGTTTGGGGCAAATAGACCTCAACATTTGGGAGTTGTTCACCTAAAATCAAAGAGCCTTCTGAACTCCACCAATGATGGAACTGAATCAAACTGGGCACACAGAATTCCCATGACCAAGAGAAAATACTGGGAAGGTCTGGTGGACATTGACCTTGAGTTTTTTGGAGTTGTAGTTTACCTACATCCAGAGAACACTGTGGACTCAAGCAATGATGGATCTGAATCAAACCTCGCACAAATACTCAATATGTCCAAATGTGAACACTGATAGAGTTTGGAGAAAATAGGCCTTGCCATTTGGGAGTTGTAATTGTTGGGATTTATAGTTCACCCACAATAAAATAGCATTCTGAACCCCACCGATAGAATTGGACCAAACTTTCTGCACATGATCAACAGAAAATACTATGTTTTCTGATGGTCTTTGGCGACCCCTCTGACACCCCCCTCGCGACCCCCATGGGGGACCCGACCCCCAGGTTGAGAAACACTGCCTTAGATAGAACAGGCATGGACCAACTTGGGCCCTCCAGGTGTTTTGGACTCCAACTCCCACAATTCCTAACAGCCTACAATTCCTAATAGGAGTTGGAGTCCAAAATACCTGGAGGGTCCAAATTAGCCCATGCCTGGGACGGAAGTGTGGCGTAATCTATATAAATAAAAATGTAATGTTTGTTTGTGGGATTAACAGAACTCAAAAACCACTGGATGAATTGACACCAAATTTGGACACAAGACACCTAACAACCCAATGTATGTCTTCACTCAAAAAAATTGATTTTGTCATTTGGGAGTTGTAGTTGCTGGGATTTATAGTTCACCTACAATCAAAGAGCATTCTGAACCCCACCAACGATGGGATTGAACCAAACTTGGCACACAGTTCCCCCATGAACAACAGAAAATACTGGAAGGGTTTGGCGGGCAGTGTCCTTTGGTTTTGGAGTTGTAGTTCACCTACATCCAGAGATCACTGTGGACTCAAACAATGATGGATCCTATTCATGGGTGCTGACAGGTGGGAAGAAACATCTCAGTGAGTTTGAGGATACCTTTCTGATTATTTATTTATTTATCGTGTCAGGAGCGAGGTGGGCAGGGCTCCGGTTGCATTGTAGCAGGTGGTCAACGGTTTGCTCTTCTCCACACTCGCATGTTGTGGATTCCACTTTGTGGCCCCATTTCTTGAGGTTGGCTCTGCATCTTGTGGTGCCCGAGCGCAGCCTGTTCAGCGCCTTCCAAGTCGCCCAGTCTTCTGTGTGCCCAGGGGGGAGTCTCTCATTTGGTATCAGCCATTGATTGAAGTTCTGGGTTTGAGCCTGCCACTTTTGGACTCTCTCTTGCTGAGGTGTTCCAGCAAGTGTCTCTGTAGATCTTAGAAAACTATTTCTTGATTTAAGTCATTGGCGTGCTGGCTGATATCCAAACAAAGGATGGGCTGGAGATGTCACTGCCTTGGTCCTTTCACTATTGGTTCCTATATCCCAGCTGATATCATGTGGTGCAATACCGCTAAACAGTGTAATTTCTCCAATGGTGTAGGGCGCAGACACCCCGTGATAATGCGGCATGTCTCATTAAGAGCCACATCCACTGTTTTAGCGTGGTGAGATGTGTTCCACACTGGGCATGCATATTCAGCAGCAGAGTAGCAAAGCGCAAGGGCAGATATCTTCACTATGTCCAGTTGTGATCCCCAGGTTGTGCCAGTCAGCTTTCGTATTACATTGTTTCTAGCGCCCACTTTTTGCTTGATATTCAGGCAGTGCTTCTTGTAGGTCGATGATGCCACTCCATTGCATTCCGGGGGTGTGGGCTCTTGAACTCTGTGGGGAGAGTCCTCCTCGTCTTCGTCATCCCCAGATAACAGAAAGCATTGCTAGGAGTTCCCTTCTCTCCCGAGGAAAACACCTCGGCCATAAACGAGGTGGGGCCGATAAACATATTTCATGTTTCATTTATAGTCTTGTTGCATCTTCCAAGTTTTATTTATAGTCTCCATGTTTCCCCGGCCTGTCTCAGCCTCTGTGGACAACAGTTCCGTCTCCAGGTGAGGCCGAGGAGACTTTGACCTCAGGCCATAGAAGATGAAGTCTTGGAATTCTTCTTCCAGCGTGGAAGGGTTCTGGTCTTGTCTCTTCTTCAGAACTTTCTCTTAAGCATGGGCAAACTTGGGCCCTCCAGGCATTTTGGACTTCAACTCCCACAATTCCTAACAGCCGATGGGCTGTTAGGAATTTTTGGGAGTTGAAGTCCAAAACACCTGGAAGGAAGGCTGAAGTTGGCCCACACCTGTACTTGAATGTTTCCTTTAGGAAACACCATCCCTGGCTCCAAGGTCCAATGCTTGTCATCGCCATCTCCTTATGTAGTGGTTATTAAAATAGTGCCATAGGTAGGTTGTTGTTGTTGTTCATTCGTTCAGTCGTTTCCGACTCTTCGTGACCTCATGGACCAGTCCACGCCAGAGCTCCCTGTCGGCCGTCACCACCCCCAGCTCCTTCAAGGTCAGTCCAGTCCCTTCAAGGATGCCATCCATCCATCTTGCCCTTGGTTGGCCCCTCTTCCTTTTACCTTCCACTTTCCCCAGCATCATTGTCTTCTCTAGGCTTTGCTGTCTCCTCATGATGTGGCCAAAGGACTTCAACTTTGTCTCTAGTATCCTTCCTTCCAGTGAGCAGCCGGGCTTTATTTCCTGGAGGATGGACTGGTTGGATCTTCTTGCAGTCCAAGGCACTCTCAGAACCATAGGTAGGTACAAATCCCAAATTTCAGGCCTTCTACTTCTAGTTGTAGTAAACGTTAATTTGGGTTGCCCTGACTTTTCTGGTCTGTATGGCCATGTTCCAGTAGCATTATCTCCTGATGTTCCACCTGCATCTATGGCAAGCATCCTCAGAGGTTTGTTCAGAGCTCTGTTGGAAGGGAGGCAAGTGGAGTGTATATACTATACCTGTGGAATAATGTCCAGGGTAAATCTGAGATAATATTGGAGTAACCCTGTGGTAACATTGAAGTAAATCTAAGGTAATACTGGAGTAAACCGGAGGTAATATGGGAGTAAGCCTGAGGTAATACTGAAGTAAATCTGAGGTAATGTGGGGGTAAATTTGAGGTAATGTATGGAGTAAATATGAAGCAATATTGCAGGAAACCTAAGGTAATATGGGAGTAAACCAGAGGTAATATGGTAGTAAACCTGAGGTAATACTGAATTTGAGGTAATGTGGGGGTAAATTTGAGGTAATGTATGGATAAAATATGAGGCAATATTGTAGTAAACCTGAGGTAACATTGGAGTAAACCGGAGGTAATATGGGAGTAAACCTGAGGTAATACTGAAGTAAATCTGAGGTAATGTGGGGGTAAATTTGAGATAATGTGGGAGTAAATCTGAGATAACATTGGAGTAAACCTGAGGTAATACTGATGTAAATATGAGATAATGCTCGGTGAGAGTATGATAGCTGGGTCTGGAAGCTCTGAGCGTTATGCACATTCCGCAACAGCGGTTCTGAATAAGGGAAGGGGAGAGTGGCACACTGAGGGAGGGAATATACTTCGTAGTTGCATTTGGTGGAAGGATAGAAAGGAGGGGATTAGGGTTAGGATAAGGTTTAGAATAAGAGTTAGAGTTAAGGGTGAGGCTTAGGGTTAGAATTTGGGCTAGGATTAGGGTTTGGGTTAGGATTAAGGTTAAGGGTTAAGTTTAGGGTTAGGATTAGTTAGGGTAAGGTTTGGGGTTGGAGTTAGGGTTAGG